TATTGGGATTTTAAATTATTTAAATATTTGTTTAAAAAGTGATTCGAATTTTTCTCTGTTTCATGTTGACTTTCTAAAATATAGAGCGTATTTGTACGTTCGAGATAATGAATATTTAAATTATCTTGAATGTAAATTAACGAGAAATTTGTTGGGAGATTAGAACTTGTTGCGCTTAAAAAATCATGGATAATTAAAATTAAATTAAGAAATCTTTATCTATCAGTTTGACATTGTTAAAACAAAATTGTTAAAATAATAATTAATAATCCCCATATACAAGAAAGAAAATAGGAAGGAGTGCTGGAATCACAGAGGGTTAAGTATAACGTCATCTCTTGGAAGGTTATATGGAAGAGTCCTGAAAACTAGGATACTAGTGGTTTCAGACCTGGAAGATCTTACGTAGATTATTTATTCACGCTTATAGACCTAATTAAAAAGAAGCTATCAAAAAGAAGAAAAAATTATAGATTGCCCTGACAGATGCAGGCATCAACAGCACTTACATCCAGGCTGTGAAAGCGTTATACAGGGATAACGTCGCAGAGGTTGAGGTAGGAAAACTCATAATTGATGCTTTCAATGCCATGCATGATTCTGTGGAAACTATTTTTAAGGACATTATAGAACCATTAATGATATATGGGTCAGAAGTGTAGATAAGAGACAAAGACAAGGCATAACCATGCTGGACCAACTTGAAAATGAGGAAATATGAAGAAAAATCACGACACAAAACTCAATAATAGACACTATAAATGAAAAGCAACTAAAATGGTATGGACATCTATGCCGAATGAGTAAAAAGAGTCCCACTTAAGGTTTGGAACTGGGTGATTGGAATGATATGGACCGCTGGCCAAATAGAATAGAATAGAATTTAAAAAATCATATCTCCCATATAACATTAAGTTAAGAAATAATTTTTTGGGGGTTGATTAAGAGCAAATTGAAGTTTCGAAAAATGAAATCCGATTGAAAAAATCTCGATTAGTTTTGAAGTTATGATGTCCTTAAAATTATTGACGATTTAAGTGTAAAAATGAAAAAAATCTAATTTTAGAGTTTGATATAAAAACGACATCGTCCAAATAAATGGAAATTAAGAAATGATTTCTTTTGAGATGATTAATTAAAAATTGAAGTTTTCAAAGCTAAAAACCTATTGAAAAAATTTCGATTCGTTTTGAAATTATGATTCGTCAAAGATTGGTAATAAAACTATAAAATGTGGAGTTGACATTTTAGAGTTGGATTCAAAAAATTATATCTCCCAAATAAGATTAAGTTAAGAAATAATTTTTTGGAAGTTGATTAAGGACAAATTGAAGTTTCGAAAATTCAAATCCGATTAAAAAAATCTCGAATAGTTTTGAAGTTATGATACCTTAAAAATTAATGATGAGTTTGATATAAAAAACGATATCGTCCAAATAAATGGAAATTAAGAAATGATTTCTTTTGAGATGATTAATTAAAGATCGAAGTTTTCAAATCCAAAAACCGATTAAAAAAATCTGAATTCGTTTTGAAGTTATGATTCGTCAAAGATTGATAATGATAATATTAAAATGTGAAGTTGACTTTTTAGAGGTGGATTCAAAAAATCATATCTCCCAAATAAGATTAAGTTAAGAAATAATTTTTTGGAAGTTGATTAAGGACAAATTGAAGTTTCGAAAAATGAAATCCGATTGAAAAAATCTCGAATAGTTTTTAAGTTACGATGTCTTAAAAATTAATGATGATTAAAGTGTAAAAATCAAAAAATCCTAATTTTAGAGTTGGATATAAAAAACGATATCATCCCAATAAATGGAAATTAAGAAATGATTTCTTTTGAGATAATTAATTAAAAATTGAAGTTTTCAAATCCAAAAACCGATTAAAAGAATTTGAATTCGTTTAGAAAGTGATTTCTTTTGAGATAAATAATTAAATATTGAAGTTTTTAAAACTAAAAACCGATTAAAAAAATCTCGATTCGTTTTGAAGTTATGATTCGTCAAAGATTGGTAATAAAACTATAAAATGTGAAGCTGACATTTTAGATTTGGATTTAGAAAATTCCTATTTACCAAATACGAATAAATTAAGAAATAATTTCTTGGAAGTTGATTAAGGACAAATTGAAGTTTCGAAAATTGAAATCCGATTGAAAAAATCTCGAATAGTTTTGAAGTTATGATGTCTTAAAAATTAATGATGATTAAAGTGTAAAAATCAAAAAACCCTAATTTTAGAGTTTGATATAAAAAACGATATCATCCCAATAAACGGAAATTAAGAAATGATTTCTTTTGAGATGATTAATTAAAGATTGAAGTTTTCAAATCCAAAAACCGATTGAATAAATTTCGATTCGTTTTGAAGTTATGTTTAGGCAAAGATCGATAATGATAATATTAAAATGTGAAGTTGACTTTTCAGAAGTGGGTTCAAAAAATCATATCTTCCAAATAAGATTAAGTTAAGAAATAATTTTTTGGAAGTTGATTAAGGACAAATTGAAGTTTCGAAAATTGAAATCCGATTGAAAAAATCTCGAATAGTTTTGAAGTTATGATGCCTTAAAAATTAATGATGATTTAAGTGTAAAAATTAAAAAACCCTTATTTTAGAGTTTGATATAAAAAACGATATCATCCCAATAAATGGAAATTAAGAAATGATTTCTTTTGAGATGATTAATTAAATATTGAAGTTTTTAAAACTAAAAACCGATTAAAAAAATCTCCATTCGTTTTGAAGTTATGATTCGTCAAAGATTGGTAATAAAACTATAAAATGTGAAGTTGACTTTTTAGAGGTGGATTCAAAAAATCATATCTCCCAAATAAGATTGAGTTAAGAAATAATTTTTTGGAAGTTGATTAAGGACAAATTGAAGTTTTGAAAATTGAAATCCGATTGAAAAAATCTCGAATAGTTTTGAAGTTATGATACCTTAAAAATTAATGATGAGTTTGATATAAAAAACGATATCGTCCAAATAAATGGAAATTAAGAAATGATTTCTTTTGAGATGATTAATTAAAGATCGAAGTTTTCAAATCCAAAAACCGATTAAAAAAATCTGAATTCGTTTTGAAGTTATGATTCGTCAAAGATTGGTAATAAAACTATAAAATGTGAAATTGACATTTTAGAGTTGGATTTAAAAAATCATATCTCCCAAATAAGATTAATTTAAGAAATAATTTTTTGGAAGTTGATTAAGAACAAATTGAAGTTTTGAAAATTGAAATCCGATTGAAAAAATCTCGAATAGTTTTGAAGTTAGGATGCCTTAAAAATTAATGATGATTAAAGTGTAAAAATCAAAAAACCCTAATTTTAGAGTTTGATAGTAAAGACGATATCACCCCAATAAATCGAAATTAAGAAATGATTTCTTTTGAGATGATTAATTAAAAATTGAAGTTTTCAAAACTAAAAACCGGTTGAGAAAATTTCGATTGGTTTTGAAGTTATGATTCGTCAAAGGTTGATAATGATAATATTAAAATGTGAAGTTGACTTTTTAGAGTTGGATTAAAAAAATCATATCTCCCAAATAAGATTAAGTTAAGAAATAGTTTTTTGGATGTTGATTAAGGACAAATTGAAGTTTTGAAAATTGAAATCCGATTGAAAAAATCTCGATCAGTTTTGAAGTTATGATGTCTTTAAAATTAATGATGATTAAAGTGTAAAAATCAAAAAACTTTAATTTTACAGTTTGATATTAAAAACGATATCGTCCGTATAAATGGAAATTAAGAAATGATTTCTTTAGAGATGATTAATTAAAAATTGAAGTTTTCTAAACTAAATGCCGATTAAAAAAATCTCGATTCGTTTTGAAGTTATGATTCGCCAAAGATTGATAATAAAACTATAAGATGTGAAATTGACATTTTAGAGTTGGATTTAAAAAATCATATCTCCCAAATAAGATTAAGTTAAGAAATAATTTTTTGGATGTTGATTAAGGACAAATTGAAGTTTTGAAAATTGAAATCCGATTGAAAAAATCTCGAATAGTTTTAAAATTATGATGTCTTAAAAATTAATGATGATTAAAGTGTAAAAATCAAAAAACCCTAATTTTAGAGTTTGTTATTAAAAACGATATCGTCCGTATAAATGAAAATCAAAAAGTGATTTCTTTTGAGATAATTAATTAAATATTGAAGTTTTTAATACTAAAAACCGATTAAAAAAATCTCAATTTGTTTTGAAGTTATGATTCGTCAAAGATTGGTAATAAAACTATAAAATGTGGAGTTGACATTTTAGAGTTGGATTCAAAAAATCATATCTCCCAAATAAGATTAAGTTAAGAAATAATTTCTTGAAAATTAATTAAGGACAAATTGAAGTTTTGAAAATTGAAATCCGATTGAAAAAATCTCGATCAGTTTTAAAGTTATGATGTCTTTAAAATTAATGATGATTTAAGTGTAAAAATCAAAAAACCATAATTTTAGAGTTGGGTATAACACATTATATCGTCCCAATAAATAAGAAATAATTTTTTGGGAGTTGATTAAGGACAAATTGAAGTTTCGAAAATTGAAATCCGATTGAAAAAATCTCGATTTGTTTTGCAGTTAGAATTTGTTACAAATTGATAATAAAAATAAAACTAAATTAAGAAATATTCGTTTGCCGGTTTATTTTGAATTTATGATTCATTATAAATTAATTAAAAAAATTATTTTAATTCATTGAATTTTAGATATTAAAATTTGTTCGGTCGAAATAATGAATAATTAAATTACCCCGAACGCAAATTAACCAGAAATGTGCTTGAATAACTTTGTAAATTATTCAATACCATTTTAATCACAAGAACTTTCGAATTTATTTTTAAAAAAATGCATGGAAAATGAAAGGAATAATAATATTAAGAACGTTTATAAATAGATAAGCTATTGATAAATTTGCAACAGGTGAGCTAATCTTAAACTAGAAGAAAAAAATTTTACGATTCAAGTTCGACAAAATCTCACCTTAATTTTACGCTTTTCCAAATCGATCCAAAACCAACATCTTTCCGGATAATCTCACAAAGAAAATAACAACAACACTTTTTGGCACTGCACCATATCAACTAAGTTCTATTCTAATTTTAATAATTCCATCATCCACACGTATTCAACTCATCTCAAAAACCACGTTTTCACGAATTCACCAACCCCTCCAGCAAAAAAAAAAATAACAAGATTTCGATTTTACTCGTTCCTACAAAAATCGTTATGTAACTTGAATTTTTAATAAATTAAAAAAATATTTTTCTTTTATATACTATCAATAATTAATTGTAATAATTTTTATTAATATGATTATAACGATTGAGGTTGTTTTTTTGGTTAGTTTATCATCACGATGATCGCGAATATGATGAAAACTGAGTCTTACATGCTTCTCTCTTTTTAGATTAAGTCCGTTCAACGTCTCGGCGCGAACTGAGTTGAGCAGCTCCACACACAACGCGTACGAAACCAAACAAGACCGAGCCGAAGAGTGCTCCACGGTTCGGCCTCCACAACGCCGTCGCTGCTCTGCGTCACTACAACGACGTTCTCTCTGTATGTAACCCTCTGTTATCGATCAGTTTTTAGAAAACGTTTTTGGATGACCTTCTACAAGGTAAAGTCGTAGTTGAGTCCTAAACGAGTTTCAAATTACGAAAAAAGACGATTTTTAAACAACCATTAACTAAGCAAAATCACAATTGACGATCAAGTTGAGGTCTACGTCCAAAGAGCTTTAATTTGATACTAAACAAAATTCGAAAATATGGGGGATATATTTTGGAAATAAAATATTTTAAGAAATAAAAAAAGCCAATTGGGAATCAAATTTGGATAAATTGAGTTGGGATTTTGATTATTTCGTAATCTACGTTTAAAAAGCTTTAGTTTGATACCAAACAACCCATATTTATAAAAAAAAAATTTTTTTTAGCAATTTTTAAGAAATAAAAAAACAATTGAGAATCATATTGGTCTGAATTGATTTTGTTTCTTAAACTGCGTTTAAAGAGCTTTAATTTGATACCCCACAACCTATATTCATGAATTAATACAAATTTTAAATAATTTTTAAGAAATAAAAAAACAATAATTATATATAAATAAACAATATTTCGATTATTTCTTTATCTACGATTAGAAAGCTTTAATTTGATACCCCACAACCTATATTTCTGACTTAATTAAATATAAAAAAAAATTTTAAGAAATAAAAAACAATTGAGAATCATCCGGGGATTAATTATGTTAGTGTATTTTGGTTATTTCTTAATCTACGTTCAAAAAGCTTTAATTTGATACCCAACAACCCATACTGTTATAAAAAAAAATTTAAACAACTTTTAAGAAATAAAAAAAAACAATTGAGAATAAAGTTAGGATGAATTAAGTTGGAATTTTAATTATTCCTTAATCTACGTTTAAAAAGCTTCAATTTGATACCCCACACCGGAATAATTTCCGAAATAATTTAATTTTTAAACAATTTTTAAGAAATGAAAAAACAATTGACAATCATTTTGGGATTAATTAAGTTGATGTATTTCGGTTATTTCTTAATCTACATTTAAAGAGCTTTAATTTGATACCCAACAACCCATATTTATCAAAAAAAATATTCAGCAACTTTTAAGAAATAACAAAAAAACAATTGAGAATCAAATTAGGATGAATTTAGTTGGGATTTTGATTATTTCGTAATCTACATTTAAAGAGCTTTAATTTGATATCCCACAACCTATATTTCCGAAATAATTTAATTCTTATACAACTTTTAAGAAATGAAAAAACAATTGACAATCATCTTGCGATTAATTAAGTTGGCGTATTTCGGTTATTTCTTAATCTACATTTAAGGAGCTTTAATTTGATACCCAACAAACCATATTTAGCAAAAAAAAATATTCAACAACTTTTAAGAAATAACAAAAAAACAATTGAGAATCAAATTAGGATGAATTGAGTTGGGATTTTTATTGTTTCTTAATCTGTGTTTAGAGAGCTTTAATTTGATACCCCACAACCTATATTTCCGAAATAATTTAATTTTTAAACAATTTTTAAGAAATGAAAAAACAATTGACAATCATCTTAGGATTAATTAAGTTGGTGTATTTCGGTTATTTCTTAATCTACGTTTCAAGAGCTTTAATTTGATACCCAACAACCCAAATTTATAAAAAGAAATTTTTTCTGCAACTTTTAAGAAATAAAAAAAAACAGTTGAGAATCAAATTAAGATGAATTGAGTTGGGATTTTTATTGTTTCTTAATCTGTGTTTAGAGAGCTTTAATTTGATATCCTACAACCCACATTTCCGAAATAATTCAATTTTTAAATACTTTTTAAGAAATGAAAAAAACAATTGAAATCGTCAATTATAAATAAACGAATAACTTTCGTAATTTTTATCCAAAACCCATCGTGTTTGGACTCATTTTAAAGGATTTTTCATTTCCAATTCATTTCTTTTATCAAATTATAATTTTAAATGGATTTGTAAAAATAAAACGAAATATTTCAATTTTATATGGTTAAAAATTAATTTTAATCAAATTTTATAGCATCAAAATGAGAATTTTATTGTTTTAATCGATAAATAAATAAATGTTTTAACATTGATGTATTATTTTCTCAACAATAAGTAATGACACGTATTGATAACATTGAGGAATTGTGTCAATGGGTCCGTACAGCTTCACTGGACGTCCGCAATGCTGCCGCAGTGTGCCCCAGGTCAAGTTAAACTCTGAAATGTAGGCCAGAGTATCGACCACTGCCACTGGCCTACCTACGCTATACACAGGATGGAAGCTGCTGCCGCCGTCGCCGGTGCGAGCCAGCAAACGACGACTCTGCTATGGAGAAGAGAACTCGGTCAATTGGTCGTGCTCAGGCCCCTCTCAATAAAACGAGAAGAGATGATGGCATAAAATCTCCGAGTATCAGTTTTTTTTCTTTTAAACGATGAATAGAATCGCTGATGAAGTAATTCAAATAAAAAAAGATGGGAGTTTTTTTTTTGTTTCGAGGAGAAAAAGGAAAAAAAGGTTGTTGAAGTGCGTATAAAATGATCTCTATGTAAAATAATGTAAACGTAAAGAGTTAATTAACGGTTAATTCCTTTCACAAATCTTAAAGGTATTTACATTCAACGGATGCAAGGTTGCATTTTAAATTTATAAAAAAGTTTTTCTCATTACGATGAAAAATATTTATGCATCAACGAGGAAAAACCAGCTAAAATATACACTTTTTCAACGACATAATTTATTTATTTACCTGTTCAAAAAGTTTCATTTACATTTTTTATCGATATACACAACAATTTGGTATTATTTATAAACAATAATATAGTAGATACTATTTTTTGCTTTATTGTGTTTCGAAATGACACATAATTGAAATTGTAATTTTTGTCACGAAAAAGCAATTTTTTAAACATTTCCTGGTCAATTACGTAAGGTTTCGAGTTGTTTGTTGCGACGCAGATTGATTTTTTAAAATATATACATACACGAATGGTGTGTGCTTCATATCACGTTGTTATAACGTTACAATCGGCCTTCAAAGATCATTTAATGCGACCTTATTCAAGTTAATAAAAACTCAAAATTATATCTATTTACAGAGTGACTAATATAAGTAGTAAAATAAGAATATAAGGTTTTTGAGTCAATTTCTTCAATTTTATTGGTTACTCAGATATTTTATTGTGTTCATTTCATCCACAACATTTTTTGTTTTCGAGCTATGTATAATAAAAATTATTTCACAAAAACATCAAAATTTTGCAAATTTGAGGTTTAAATTTCGAGTCAGGGGCTTATCCATAACGTAGAAGGATAATTTTCTGAAAATACTATATCCTTATTAATCCCACCAAAGCCCAATTCTTTGGTCCATTTCTTTTTTTCTCTCTCGTTTCTTCTCTTACAATAATAACATTTCTTCTACTATCACAACTTTATGAAATTTTCACTGTATTGGAATTGAATTGAAATTTCTGCAAAATAAAACCAAACAGCTATTAGTGCATTTAATAAGATTCGTCATACACTTAAAACGTTACTAATCCAAAAAGCATAACAGAGTTACTTCGATTCTGCTCATCGAAACTGAAGGGGCTTGCAGTCGAGTTTTTCACTATTTTGTATAACACTGATGTAACGATATTTGTAAAAGCTTATGGATAGATGATGCAATGCAGGTACAGGTCGCTTTACTGTACGTGGACCAAGCAGCCTTGAAGAAGCTAAAATGATGTTGGGAATAGCACAAGACAAGATATTCACTAACAACTCTAGCTGCGTGAACCTTATTCTGCATGAAAATACCAAATGCTCATCCAAAAAGTGAACAAAAAAGGCATAACATGATTCACCACGGAGCCATTTTGGTATAAATTAACCTCAACCGTTCCCTTATAAACTCAAAAATTTTTATTTCTTAAATGCAAACCTTTTTGGCGAGAATTTGGTACTCTAGGTACTAAAAATCTTGAAAACTGTTTAAAAATCCTTGATGTTCTACATAGAAATCACTAAAAAAAATAATGGTCTACCTTGGACACTTAAAATTTGGCACAACCTAATCTCCAAGGTTCTTTTATAACCTCAAAAAGTTTCATTTCTTAAATCCTAATGGTTTTAGAGAAAATATTTTTTTTCTTTTTCACATTCAAAAAACGTCAATTTAAGTAGTTGATATTTTATAATGTACATATATAAAATGAATCTGTTCTGGAAACTTGAAGTTTGGCGTAGCTTAACTTAAAGCATTCCTTTATAGCCTCAAAAAGTTTAATTTCTTAAATCAGAACGGTTTTGGAGAAAACCTTTTTTCTTCTACAACCTAACTCATTTAATAACGTCTCGATTTTTTAAGAAATATATAAACTGAGTTGTTTACCTTGAACACATAATTTGGCATAACCAAACCTCAAATAACCCTTTATAACCTCAAAAGGTTTCATTTCCTAAATTCCAAGGGTTTTCGAGGAAACAATTTTTTTCTTCAACCACATATTCAATATCTATCTAAATAGTCTTTTTTTTTAAATGTGTATAAACTGAACTGTTTATCTTGGATACTTGAAATTTGGCACGAAGTAACCTCAAACACATTCCTTTATAACCTCAAAAAGTTTCATTTCTTAAATCCTAACGGTTTTGGAGAAAACATATTTTTTTCTTTAACCTCACATTCAACAAACGTCAATTTAAATAGTTGATTTTATAAAATGTATATGAAATGAATTATTTACCCAGGAGATTTAAAATTTGGCACGAAGTAACCTCAAACATTTCTTTATAACTTGAAAAAGTGTTATTTCTTAAATCCTAACGGTTTTGGAGAAAACAATCTTTTTCTTTAACCTCACATTCAACAAACGTCAATTTACATAGTTGATTTTTTAAAATGTATATGAAATGAATTGTTTACCCTGGAGATTTAAAATTTGGCATAACCAAACCTCAAAAATTCCCTTACAACCTCAAAAAGTTTCATTACTTAAATTCTAAGGGATTTGGAAGAAACAATTTTTTCTTTAACCTCACATTCAACAAACGTCAATTTAAATAGTTAATTTTTTAAAATGTATATGAAATGAACTATTTACCCTGGAGATTTAAAATTTGGTATAACCAAACCTGAAACGTTTCTTTATAACCTCAAAAAGTTTAATTTCCTAAATTCTAAGGGTTTTGGAGAAAACAATTTTTTTCGTCAACCTCACATTCAATAAATGTCGATTTAATAGTCTTTTTTTTAAATGTGTATAAAATGAATTATTTACCTTGGACACTTAAAATTTGGCACGGTGTAACCTCAAACATTCATTTGTAACCTCAAAAAGTTTCATTTCTTAAATCCTAACGGTTTTGGAGAAAACTATTTTTTTCTTTAACCTCACATTCAACAAACGTCAATTTAAATAGTTGATTTTTTAAAATGTATATAAAATGAATTATTTACCCTGAAGACTTAAAATTTGGCATAACCAAACCTCAAACGTTCCTTTATAACCTCAAAAAGTTCCATTTACTAAATTCGAAGGATTTTGGAGAGAATAATTTTTTTCTTCAAACTCACATTCAATAAATATCGATTTAAATAGTCTCTTTCTAAATGTGTATAAAATGAATTACTTACCTTGGACACTTGAAATTTGGCACGAAGTAACCTCAAACATTGCTTTGTAACCTCAAAAAGTTTCATTTCTTAAATCCTAACGGTTTTCGAGAAAACCATTTTGTTCCTTAACCTCACATTCAACAAACGTTAATTTAAACAGCAGATATTTTAAAATGTATATGAAATGAATTATTTACCCTGGAGATTTAAAATTTGGCATAACCAAACCTCAAACGTTCCTTTATAAGATCAAAAAGTTTCATTTCCTAAATTGTAAGGGTTTTGAAGAAAAGAATTTTTTTCTTCAACCTCACATTCAATAAATGTCGATTTAATATCATTTTCAAATGTGCATAGAATGAATTGTTTATCTTGGATACTTGAAATTTGGCACGAAGTAACCTCAAACATTCCTTTATAACTTCAAAAAGTTTCATTTCCTAAATTCTAAAGGTTTTGGGTTTTGGAGAAAACAGTTTTTTTCTTCAACCTCACATTCAATAAATAATGTCAATTTAAATAGTCTTCTTTTAATGTGTATAAAAGGAAATATTTACCTTGGAAACTTGAAATTTGGCACGAAGTAACCCCAAACATTCCTTTATAACCTCAAAAAGTTTCATTTCTTAAATCCTAACGGTTTTGGAGAAAACAATTTTTTTCTTTAACCTCACATTCAACAAACGTCAATTTAAATAGTTGACTTTTTAAAATGTATATAAAATGAATTATTTATCCTGGAGATTTAAAATTTGGCATAACCAAACCTCAAACGTTCCCTTACAACCTCAAAAAGTTTCAATTCCTAAATTCTAAGGGTTTTGGAGAAAACAATCTTTTTCTTCAACAACGTGTATAAAATGGACTGTTTACCCTGAAAGTTTAAAATTTGGCAAATCTGAACGATTTAAATAGTTGATTATTTAAAATGTATATGAAATGAATTATTTACCCTGGAGATTTAAAATTTGGCATAACCAAACCCCAAACGTTCCCTAAGAACCTCAAAAAGTTTAAAATCCTAAATTCTAAGGGTTTTGGAGAAAACAATTTTTTTCTTCAACAACGTGTATAAAATGGACTGTTTGCCCTGGAAGTTTAAAATTTGGCAAATATGAACGATTCAAACAAATGTTCAGTTCAGTAATAACACTGCTTCATCCTGATCAAATCATTACAATTCCATGAAAGGTGATCTTGTGGCTTCCAAGACTTTGAGATACTGTGCCGATGTTTCAATAGTTGTCAGATAGCTGTAATTAGTCATGGCAATACATTAACACGAATCTTTGTTCTAATCAATCGTTAACATTAACATCGTAAACCTTGAAGGTGATTTTACAGCGAAACCATGGAAGCTGATTTATTCCGAAAACTTTTTTGATTCCGAATATCTTTGATTTGAACAATAAAAACAGGTTTCGCTATGTTAGGCTTCTTGATTTATTTAAATGATTGAGAGTATTTCCAAAAATATCACCATTCTGTTTATACACTACATATACTATGAAATAAAAATTCTCCAGACACATTTATTTACATATTGTTATAATAGATCACCCTATATACGTTTTAGGATTTGCTAAAATTTTTATTAAAGCGAAGCAAAATACTTTTGTGCGTTGAAGAGTTGGATGATGCTCAAAAGAGAGGGTAATTTCTGCGAACCGTCATGCAATGGTCCGTGTTTCGAGTCGGACAGGGCCAATTATTTTAAATTATAATACTCCCGGCCGCGACCTAATAATGCTTATTAACGATCGGAGTAATTGGATTAATACTTGTTAGTGTACGTGTGTGTTTTTTTTTGTTCGAGAAAAAAGAACGAAACAAAAAAACATATCAAATAAACGATGGAGAATGATGGAAATTACCGGCTACGGTAACCTTCCAACCGAAGAAGACCGGCAATTATACTGTTTGTTAGACACTTAAATTTCACTCTTGCCTTTAGGTACTCTTTTCAAATCTAGTTAAGGGTTTCTATTTAAGCATGTCAAGTTGTACACCTGTATAGGGTGAATCATAAAGAATTCGTAAGATGATAAATTGATTTGATTGAGTCAATCAATATTCTAAATAATTTTGAAATTCGAAAATAACTCACGTTATCTTATCTCCATATTTATGAATCAGATAAGAATCATTAAACTATAAAAATATGTCATTCTCAAAATGGTTTTTGGATTTATAACTTGTGGTCCTAACGAAGCTTTAGTTATTTCAGGTACTTTTCCATCTTATTTTATTTAAATGATACTTACTAATTAATTTTTATTTGTATTTAAGGATGTTGTCACTCAAAGCCGAAACTTGTTGCCGGTGGAAGATCCTTCGTTTGGGGGTCATTTCAACAAATAAACAGGTAATAAAACAATAAATTCTCACAAAATTGAATCATTTAAACTTTTTTAGCATAAATTTAAACACGATGACTTTACAAATTGAAACTCCCAGAGTTTATACATCCCAAGGTGTTCCCCTTTCCGTAACGGGAATCGCACAAATTCGGGTGCATGGCCAAAATAAAGAAATGTTATACACAGCTTGCGAACAATTCTTAGGAAAATCACAAGATGAAATCAAAGAAATCGCTCTCGCAACATTAGAAGGACACCAACGGGCTATAATGGGCTCAATGACTGTCGAAGAAATCTACAAAGATCGTAAAAAATTTAGCGAAAACGTCTTTAAAGTAGCCTCATCCGATTTAGTAAATATGGGCTTAACGATCGTTTCTTACACAATCAAAGATATCTGGGACGATCAAGATTATTTAAAAAGTTTAGGAATGGCGAGAACGTCCGAAGTACAACGAGATGCAAAAATCGGCGAATGTCAAGCGAAAAGTGAAGCGGAGATAAAACGAGCTCTCGCCACAGCCCTTCAAAAAGAAGCGGAATTTTCCAATCAAACGAAAATCGAAGAAGCGAAACGAGATTTTGAATTGAAAAAGGCCGCTTACGATCGCGAGGTTCAAACGAAAGACGCCGAAAGCGAATTGGCTTTCGAACTTAGGGCTGCCAAACTTAGGCAGGATATCGTCTCGGAACAGGTTCAAATAAAAGTTGTCGAAAGAACGCAACAAATTGCGGTTGCCGAACAGGAAATTATCAGACAGGAAAAAGATTTGGATGCTAAAGTTCGAAAACCGGCGGAGGCTGAAAAATATAGATTGGAAAAAATTGCCGAAGCTAATCGAAAAGCTATGGTTTTAGCTGCTGAAGCTGAAGCGGAAAAAATTAAGATTGTTGGGGAAGCCCAAGCTGCAGTTATCGTTAATAAGAGTAAAGCTGAAGCCGATGTTATGGCAAAAAAAGCTGAAGCTTGGAGGGAATATAAAGAAGCGGCTACTGTTAATATGATTATGGAAGTTTTACCAAATGTAAGAGAATACACTGTGTTAATTAATTTCGTAACCCACGTGACCCATGTAATGTTGGCTGCATATCTCAATATGTAGTGGTAGCTTGGATAATTTTAAATTAGTAACCAAATGTTGACAGCTGATCGTACGTTATTGTAGTGATTGTCGTACGCTTTGTGAGTTTTCGTATTTTCTTTGTTCTGTAACCATGTTTTGCTGTCTTTATATTTTTCGAAACAGTTCTTTTTAGAACTATTGTTGTTTCTAGCGGTTGCTTTAAACATTAATTCCAATCTACAATGGATACACTAAAATTATTTTAAATAAAAGGACAGAAAGTTAGGCCTTTTTTATATTTAAAATATTTTTTTAATTATTAAAATATATTTTAAACGGCTTATAAAGTTAATGAACTGTCGCCATCGTTTTTAGGAACTTTCGTCGCGTTGCAATACCAATCTGTGATATTGGTTGCATACTTTACTGGGTACGATAATTAATTAACACACTGTATATTTAATAAAGTTAAATCTCGATTAATCTGTCACTAGAACTAACATTAGTCCTAAAACTAGAAACATTCGGGTTGAGCCGTCTTAAGAGACGTACGGCTAAACCCAAATGTTTCTAGTTCTAGGTTTAGTTCATTACAAGTACATAACAACCTAGCGCTATCTAGTGCTATTTGGCATAACCTAGCACTGTTACTAGAACTCATACTACATTTAGAACTACAAACATTTGGGTTTAGCCTTGTGTCTCTTAAGACGACTAAACCCAAATGTTTCTAGTTCTAGCTCTAGTGTTAGTTCACTAAAAATATAGCAAGGATAACAAGCAAAATTAGAAGTAAGTCCGCCCAGTACCTGTTCCCTCTCTCCTCATTGCCACAGTGAAATCTGGCCACCAATCTCTTCCCTTCATCATCCTCCTCCATCAACAGATACTTTGGCAGTTCTTTTGTACTATCGCCCCATATCTTTCATTATATCTCCTTTCCCGTATCTGTGACTTTCTTTCCAGCTTCTGTATGTCCCTGTCCCTATCTCTCAGCTCTCTCCACATTTCACCTCTCTTCGCTCTTCTGATGTCGATCTCAGTTAGTGAATATCCCACTCTGCTATGATATCCTTCCCTATCTCTCTGCCCATATATCAACCACCTCTCCTTAATCTCTCTCCAGCACTCTCTCAGGATCCTACAATGCTGTATCATTTCGATCATTCTATCATTGCGTATACGCGATGTATACGCGTATTCTTGCATAAACTCCCCTCCAATAATCAGACATGCCTTATTGTCTCTTTCATTCTCTTGCTATATACCGTGACTATCTGCACCTTCGCTCCCTCCAACTTGATTTGCCTTTTTACCATCCCCTTCTGCCTCCATCTCCTCTCCGTCTTACTCCTGTCTATAACTTCACTGTCTATAACGCACGCTCTTCCTCTCTGCAAACATACAATCCCATTTATCACCTTCCGGCATCTTTCCTTCAATCATCAACCCAGGTTTCCATCAAACAAATCACCTCAAATCTCTTCAAATTTTCTCAGAACTGCCCTCCCTTATTCGTAATCCCCGCTACATTCCAGAATACCATTTTCAAACCCGTCTCTCTTCTCTGACTTCTCCCATCCCCCATATAGTTTTTTGATAACCTCTGCCCTCTCCCCCACTTCGCCCTCACAGTCGGTTATCCGCTCCCTCCCTTTCAACCCTCTCCCCATATCCTCATAATTAATGCTTCTCTCACAGTTTCTATCCCTCGTTTTGTATCTGTCATCCTTCCACCTGACTCAGTACAATGCTGGATCCTGGAAATAAACTGCGACCCAAAAATTGGGAATCTGATACGATTAACAGCAGGGCATAAAACATGCTCAACCGTTTCTTCGTCCTCCACACATGGTCACATGGAAATCCCCAGTAAAGACACTCATTAGAACTTTGATACTGCTCTATATGCGAATACAAAGGAGATAGGGCAAGCAGATCATCTGTTACTAGAGTTGGCGTTATGCTTATCGCAAAACTAGAACTAACACTAGAACTAGAACCATTCGGCTTTAGCCATCTTAAGAGATGTACGGCTAAACCCGAATGTTTCTAGTTCTAGTGTTAGTTCCACTTTTAGCTCAATAAAAATATACAACAATCCAGCGCTGAGTAACAATTAAAACTAGAACAACCGTTCTTGATTTTTTACATCCTATATACAACTCGGGGAATACCCGAGTTGGATTCTATCTATAAGCACTAACATTTATATTTAAATATACTAATGTATTCAAAATACATCATGAAGTATATCAAAGATATTAATTAATTTTTAATTTGATTAAGGTTGTGAAAGAAGTTTCCGGACCTCTATGCGAAACGAAAAAAGTGACAATGGTTTCATCCGGAAATGGTGAAGTTGGAGCTGCAAAATTATCCGGGGAAGTTTTAAATATTGTATCAACAATTCCAAAAATCGTCAAGTCAATGACGGGTGTCGACATCTCTCGGGTAAAAACCAAACAATAATAAAATAATTTTTTATTAATAAATTCTTTTTAGTCTGTTAACGAAATGAAAACAATCAAATAAGAACATAATTAAATAAAAAATTATAAAATAATCCAAAATTTAAGTGTAGATAGAAAATAAAGTGGTGAACATTGATATTAAAATTAAATCGATATTTTTATTTTTTGCGCATGCGCACTAGATGTTAAAGTAATGTGATGTCAAAGCGTTAAGCGAAAGATCTTTTGAGGTCAATACCAAACGATATTTTCAATTTTAAGTAGTTTATAGAGTTATATTTTTGAGGTATTAACGCGTTTTTAAAATGACTTGGGGATTTGTTACGTGTGGCCCCAATGAGGCTATGGTTATATCAGGTAAGTACAATTGTTTTTTATTTGAAATTGTACAGACAGTTTAGGCGTAGTCTATGTACACAATTTATTTGTGATAAGGCGATGTCGGTAAAGTAGATTCCTTAAATTAATATTTAAATTTGAAATAAATTATTAATTAAAATAAGTTAACTAAATAAATTTTTAAGGTTGTTGTTATTCAAAACCGAATCTTGTACCGGGTGGACGAGCTTTCATATGGCCAGCAATTCAAAAAGTACAAAGGTAATATAATTTTTTTAATCATTTTGTTTTATTTGTTTAAAGATTAAATTCTATTTTTATTTTTTATTTTAGAATATCATTAAATACTATGACGCTTCAAGTAGAAAGTCCAACGGTTTATACTAGCCAAGGAGTTCCAATATCTGTAACAGGAATTGCACAAGTAATTTTTTTTGTATGGGTATTCATAGTTGGACAACAAATTTAGTTCACATATTTATAATTGTAACTTTATTACAGTCTATTCTTTTTCAAATCACCCTAAAAGCTATATTTTATGATTAAGTTGAATTAAAATTTTAATAAGTAAGGTTATGTATATCCTAATTGAACTGTCAATGTCAGTTTAAAAAAGAGCATCTCTAACCTATATTGATTCATATTTATATTTTAAATGTGTTCAAACATGTTATCAGTGAATTTAAGATCATTTAATTAATATAAACAATAAAACGAAATAATTGTTTAAATAGAAAGTCAATTTATTGATTTAAAAAAGAATAGACTATAAAATGTGGTTACTTACCCAAAAACCAATTAAGTTATTAGTTAATCGTACAAATAGAGTTAAAAATGGCTCTAAATAAGTAAAAAATTTATCTAAATCATCTTTTAATTAATTTAGAATCTTTATAATGTGGTCTAAAAATAACATCTAAAGTGTTTTAGAAAGGTGTAATTGTATTCTTGAAAGTTGTAATGTACTAATAGGAAAAGATGCTAAGAAGTTTGCTTGTAGTTAATTGAACACCGCTTAGAGGTAGGTCTAAAGTATTTTTTGTTATTGTACAAGCGTCCAATAACTATTCATTGGTGTCTAATAGCTATAATTTTTTAAATTTTAGATGCTAAAAGTAAATGAACATATAATGTTGACCTGATTAAAAAAGCTGTACAGGAAACATTTGGGGTTTTGCAGAAAGAATTGTCAGAAAATCATTCTTATTCCATGTAGCTTTTCTAGAGCTTCTAAATCTAATCTTGGCTATGTCATCTGTTATCTCATCCAAATGCCATCATAAGAGGCGGATGCTGTTACTCTCTGCACCTAATTCTGACTCACCACCAAGTTGTTGTACTCTAGAAACCTGAGCAATTCTGTGGGAATCAGTCCTAACCAAACCCAGAGGTGAACCTCAATGAACCTTTCTTCTGTCATAGTGCTTCTCAACTAAGTCTTTACTCTTCGAAATGTACTAAATGAGCGTTCAACAATGGGTATAGTTCATGGAATCGCGATTAACGTCAAAAGTGCCTGTCTTATGATAGGGAGAAAAGATTGGTTTCGCTGAGAAGATCAATGATTTCAGTATTTTTTAACTTGTCCGCTTGATTTTTTTGTTTTCCAAGTTTGATTTCTGCTGTCATATTCTCCAATTGATAAAACTATGGAGAATATTGGTGTGTATCTTTTAAATGACTGATATCTATGTTAAACATACACAGAGGATATAGTAATCGAATCTAAATATGGCATAATAAACGAATGTTTCCAGTAGTTGCTATCACAGTCTGATGGCGAATTACTCCCGTGTATTTGCCTATTGACGCGCTTGAGGAGGGAATTTTCTATTTCCAATTCTACTGCAAGGTCTTGCTGCAGACTAAGTAGATCAACAACTGATCAACCAGACAGCTCTTCATAGACTTCAAACAAGCATACGACAACGTCTACAAAAACAAACACTACACCATAATGTACAGCCTCAATGTACTGTCCAAATTACTGAGGCTTGTCAAATGCACAGCACATGCCGAGTGAAAGTAAAAGGGAATACCATCAAGCGTATTCCAAAGTACCCATACTGTTCAACATATCACTTAAATATGTTATGAGAAGAGCTGGGGTCAATCTAAACGCAACCTACATAAACAAGTCCGTCCAAATGGGATATGCAGATGACCTTAATATCATTGACAAATCAGTGCAGTCGGTCAAGGACTAAGGATCAATGACGACAAAACCAAACTGCTAATTCAGAGTAAGAAACGAACATATCGTGTTGGGCAGAGTATAACGACTGGAGACTACAACTTCGCGTTAGTTGACAACCAGGAGGAAAACGCATGACTGGTAGACCAAGCGAAAGATGGGAAGACAACGTGACCATACACGCTCAAGAGATTGTTGGGATGAGAAGCTTGAATAGACTGTCCAAAGACTGAGACGGTTGGAGGGGAAGCATCGAGAAGGCCAATACAGTGGAACCTCGGTATACGACTGCTTTAGAATACGACCAATTCTGCATACGACCTCTTTTAACAAATTGAGCAGAAAAAGGAGATTGTTAAGAAATATGAAGATGGCATTCGTATTCGAGCTTTAACTCTTGCGTACCGCATTCTGAGAACGACGATGTCGACAATCGTGAAAAATAAAGAGGTTATTAAATATGCTAACGTTGCAAAAGGGGTTAAATCAATTTCTAAACAGAGATTAAAGACATTAGATCATTACATTTGCTTTGGATAACAGAAAAACAATGTGCTTATCAGAGGCAATTATATTCGTGAAAGCTAAAAACATACATGCTAATCTCGTGAAAAGCCAAGCAGGAACTAGTCAGGAAGGTGAGGTGTTTAAAGCCAGCTATGGTTGGTTTGCGAATTTAAAAAAAAAAGAAGTGGTATTCATAATGTTGTACGACATGGGGAAAAAGCTAGTGCCGATAAAATTGCCGCCAATGAATTTATTAAACATTTTGGAGAATTTGTAGAAACTGAGCGGTTTAGTCCCCAGCATGTTTTCAATTGTGACGAAACTGGTTTGTTTTGGAAGAAAATGCCAAATAGGACCTATATCACACAAGAACAGAAGACACTACCAGAGTACAAGCCAATGAAAGACAGACTAACTTTACTGCTTTGCAGCAATGCTAGTGAGGATTGTAAAATGAAGTGTTTACTGATCTACCATTCTGAAAACTCGAGGACATTTAAACAACATAAAGTCCAGAAGTCTCAGCTGCCTGTTATGTGGAGATCAAATAGCAAAGCTTGGATAACGAGACAACATTTCATTATAATTTCAAAGTTTAATGTTGTGTTTGGACCAAGTGTAAAACGTTATTTCTAAGAAAACAATCTACCTTTAAAAGCTGTTCTACTAATGGATAATGCACCTGATCCACCAAGTTTGAAGGATTGTGTTTTGTCTGAGTTCGATTTCATTACTATAAAGTTTCTTGCACCTAATATCACTCCTCTCATTCAGCCTATGGATCAGCAGGTCATAAGTAATTTCAAAAAACTTTATACTAAAGCCTTATTCCAGAAGTGTTTTGAAGTAAGAGAGAGGCAGAATTAATCCTGATAGAGTTCTGGAAAAATTATTTTAATATTGTACAGGCTATATCGCTCATTGATAAAGCTTGGCAGGAAGTTTCTCACAGAATTATGAATTCCGCTTGGAGAAATTTGTGGCTACAAGTAGTAACCGAAAGAAATGTCGAATCTAGGAGCTCTATAGTGAAGGATATTGTTTCCCTGGCCAGAGCCATGGAACTAGATGTATGTGATGACTGATGATGATGCAGAAGAATTGCTGGAAGAACATAATCAAGAACTGACCACTGAGTTGTTACAGGAAATGGAACATGATGAGCATCAATGGATGGACGTGAAAAATTTTGCAGAAAAATACCATCCTAACCAAGTTCAAACAAGTCGTAACAGCATCGCTTGGGAAGCCCAGACACTCACATTTTAGAGACATTCTAAGAAAAAGACAAGCACAAAGTTCTTTGGACAGATTTTTAATAAAAGTTGCTGATCCAAGTACAAAGTGAAAGAAGATAGAAAAGTAACAAAACCCAGAATGAGGCTCTTCTTCTTTAGAATATAAATTTTTAAAATTTTTGTTTTTATATTTTAGTAGTAGGGTTTTAATCAGTTTGTTTTGTTTTAATAATTATTACTGAAATAATTAGTTTAATATCATAACTTTAAAAATCTGTAATATAGTTCAGTTTTTTACAAAGTGTCTTAATTAGATTAATTATTTTTACATTACTGGATATGGGAAAGGTTGGTTCGGTATTCGTCTTATTCGGTATAAGTCCAAATATAAGAAACGGATTATGGTAATATACCGAGGTTTCACTGTACTAGATTAGGGCTGTGTGATTGTTCCACTTTAAAAGACTTAATCTCGAAGAAAGATGTCCAGGTAGGGTTGGAGTCAAAGACACATTTCTAAGCGTCTTAGCTGTTACAAATACTTTAAGCCAGTTCTCCAATAATTATACAAGCATACATACAACACTCACAAAGCATTGGGTTAACATAAGGAACGCATATACATTTTTGACACGTACCATTACGTCTTAAATGCAAACAATGTTTAACATATATTATATTAACTTTGAACATGTGGGACTAGTATACACTTTGAATAACTAAATTATTTATTTGCTGTGGTTTATTTACATATAAAAATGGCCAGATTATTTTGATTAAGCAATTTTGCATCTCACCTATGTGATAAAACATTAACACACTTTAAATGTTATTTTCGCGATCATTTATACAAATTATAGCATAAGTTTTAGGCTTCAACATTCCCCCAACATTCCTTCATATTCATTTTCATTACCTTAATTAAGTTGCCAACTACAACATAAGTCAAAATTTGGTTAGAAACTGGTGATAGAGATTGAACAGTACTGGATTTCCCAACCAAAGATTTCCAACATATTATTTCTTATTTATTCATGATGTTTGTTAGCCTCTTTTACATTAAGTTTGGAGTAGGCGTGTAATTGAATAAGAACTCTTCAATCTAATAGATATCAATATCATTTTAATGACTAACGTTTATTTAAATGTCTTTAGGTTAAGATACAAGGGCAAAATGAAGAGATGCTTTTGGCAGCTTGCGAACAATTCCTTGGAAGAACTGAACACGAAATTCAACACATAGCTCTTGTCACTCTCGAAGGTCATCAAAGAGCGATAATGGGTTCGATGACGGTCGAAGAAATTTACAAAGACAGGAAGAAGTTTAGCAAGCAAGTCTTTGAAGTTGCTTCTTCTGATTTAGTGAATATGGGAATTACGGTCGTTTCATACACCTTAAAGGATATTAGGGATGAAGAGGTAATTAAAAAATAAATAAAACAAAGAAAATACAGTTTTTTTAATCATTTTTTTAATTTATTTCTCTTAATCCAAGGTAAAATTACTTGTTAAAAGGTGATGATAACGTTTTTTTCTTAAAAAAGTGATGTTATTATTTTAATTAACAATTAATGGACCCTTTTTTAAAAGATGTGCTATTATTAATCATTTTTATAATAATTAGCTTGTTTTTCTTTTATTTTATTGCTACAAATAGGGCGCTAAGGTACGTTAATTAAACAAACCAACAAGAACTAAACCCCTTCATCCCCTATTCTATTATTTGTTAAGCTGCTTTTTTTATTTATTTTAACCCCCTCATTCTCTTCTCATAGTAGGAGGTAGATGTTTCAAACAGTTTTAACTCATCCATTTTCACTTCCGATTCTAAAAACCATAAAAATCAATTAATACAAATAAAACAATTAAAAATGTATTATTTTATACTTTTAGGGTTACCTAAAGAGTTTGGGAATGGCTCGAACGGCCGAAGTAAAACGCGACGCCCGTATCGGTGAAGCAGAAGCCCGTTGTGACGCTCAAATAAAAGAGGCGATCGCCGAAGAACAACGAATGGCCTCCGTTTTATTAAACGACACGGAAATAGCGAAAGCCCGACGTGATTTCGAACTTAAAAAAGCCGCTTACGACGTCGAGGTTCAAACGAAAAACGCGGAAGCCGATTTAGCGTATGAATTACAAGCGGCCAAAACGAAACAGAGAATTATGGAGGAAAAAATGCAGATTAAAGTGGTTGAAAGAACGCGACAAATCGCCGTTGAGGAACAGGAAATCGGAAGGAAAGAACGGGAGTTGGAGGCGAAAATTAGGAGACCAGCGGAAGCGGAGAAATATCGTTTGGAAAAAATTGCCGAGGCGAATAATAAAAAGGTTTTATTGGAAGCTCAGGCTGAAGCCGAATCTATTAAACTTAAAGGGGAAGCAGAGGCTTACGCGACTGAAGTTAAAGCGAAAGCGGAAGCGGAACTTATGGCGAGAAAAGCGGATGCTTGGAAGGAATATAAAGAAGCGGCGATGATTGATATGCTTTTGGATGTTCTACCAAAAGTAAATAATATTAATATTATTTTTCCCAAATTAATATTTATCCACTATTTTGGTGATTCCTATGAATCTATCAATTTATTTATATTTATTTAAATAGTTTCGAAACGTTTCAATGATTCAAAATTCTTGTTTAAGTCACATGCCCTTAATTACCAAGGCAAAGAAGTGGCACAATCATAATAAAAACAACCTGTATGTTGTTTGAATAGATAAATGTTAATTATTCCAAGAATTAATTTTTAAACATCTTCTTGTAGATTACAGCCGAAGTAGCAGCGCCATTATGTCAAACAAAAAAAATTACGATGGTTTCATCTGGACAGGGTGATATAGGTGCCGTGAAACTCACCGGAGAAGTCCTCAACATTGTCAATAAGGTTCCAGAGTTGGTCAAGAACATGACAGGGGTCGATATCGTTAAGGTAAGCAGCAATAAAGCTGAAATAAAAAGAACTAGGGATTTTTATCTGTTATAAATTTATGAAGTGAATGATGTGAATTGATTATGTGGATGGTTTTTTTATATTAACTCATTTGCATCATAAACCCAGATACATTTAGCTACAATATATGTATAAATATGTTATTTAAAGCTCTCAAAAACTCAACCTTTCGACTGTGTTGTGATTCCAACAAGATAATGATCCTAAACATACATCATACGTGAGCAATTGTATAATAAAAAGAAATTTGGTGATTTAACTTTGTCATTTTTGTTCAATGATGCAAATGGGTTAAGAAAATTCCTGTACTTTTAAAAACTGAATTTGGTAGGTACTTAAAAGATGGCGCTAGTTGGAAATTACCATAGTTACTTATCTTATCAACAGGTGTCACATTGTATCCCTATTTATTTTTATTATTATATTATTTTTTTTTTAATTGTTATTGTTATTAATTTTTTTTTGTTATTTTTAGTCTGTACATGCAGCAGCCTAATTAAAGGCGAAGCGCTGGGTGGTAAATTGCAATACGTTCTGATGGATAAAATTGAAAATTAATTTGGTATTGATTTAAAATGTTATTTTTAAACTTTTTGCAATTATTTTGTATAATACCTAAGTATAACTCAAACATACACTCAAACATGATGGTAGAAGGTGCATTTTCTTTATACAATTTTAAGTATTTTGTGTTTTTAAGTACAAATAGAAGTATAAGTGCCAAAAAAAAATAATAATAAAATAAATAAAGTAATAGGCACAAAAATGAAGTAATTATTAAAAAAAAAGATATTTTTATTTAAGTATTTTATGATAAAAAATTAATAATATATATCTTTCTTTTTTTTTAATATATTTTTGTCTTCCATTATTAATTTGATTTCGTCTTTTTTAACTATCTTTCATTGCACAACATTTTATCCAATTAATAGCTTAGATTATTTAGCTTGATTCATGTAAACAAAATAATCATTAACTTTATAAATGTGTGGTTAACTGCCTTAACAAAAAAAAAAAAGATATAAATACTATTTGTAATAATACTCCTTAACTGTCAACATTATTTTAAAAAAACCTTTAATGTTACACTAAATGTTAAATAAAGAAAGAAATTTTGAAAATAATTACTTGTTTTTATATCTTACTCACTTCTACGTCACAAAACACATAATAAAACAGTCACGTAACAAAAAAAGAAAACTTCTTTGCGTCATTTCGACAATTTTATTATTTATTAATGTTAATAAAATTGACCTTACGTAGTTAAATTTTATCACATACAGGTATCCCAGATAAATCGTGAAATTCAAATCAAAATTGTTTTTAAAACCACAATTAACAATTAAAAAAAATCTAATTAATAAATTTAATCTATTAAAGGAACCTGTATAAATACTTTCTTTTTAATTTCTCCTTAAAGCTAATAAGAAATATAAAGATTTGGCAAGATTACAATAATTTCTTGGGATCGAAGGTTTTTTTTTTGTCCGCGATAAGAATGAGATCATTCATTTTACAAAAAAGGAAACTTTGTTCCCTCTCAAAACAAATTAATCATACAAAAAGGAAATTGAGGTGAATAATAATGATGAATAAGAAGAAATAGTGTTGGTCACTATTGATTTAAACCTGCTTAGTCAATTTCTCTTTGAATCATTAAAAAAACATTTAAGAGAATTTAAAAATTCTTTAAAATAAAATAAATTCGGTTTTTCTTGTAATTGCGGTTTCGACGGACCATAAAAGTGATAAAAATTATGAAGATAACGATAAAGAAAATATAACCGATAAAAATTGTAATACTTAAATCAACTTTTAAAGAGTTTTTGATGTGTTACGAAGTAGTGGAAGACTTTAGAACGTATTCAAAAAGAGATTTAACCCAACAATGCATTTTGAATATTTACATTTCTAAGTTGTAGAAATATTTACAGAAATATTTACATTTTTATGGTTATTATTTTAAAACAAAAAATAAATTTAAAACAAGTCCAAACACAAATATCTGATTAAAATTTAAAAGAAATGTTTGTAACAAGTTAAGAATGAATGGAGTTCAAGGTGTTTATTTAAATTCTTGCATTTCTAAGTTTTTTTTACAACACTTCGAATTCTTATCGTTGCTTTTAAGATTAAAATTTCTTGTAATTCATAAGTTAAAAATGTTGGAATGATTTAAACCCTTCCCTTAAAACCAAAAATTTTTGAGTTTTTCTACTTAATGTGCAATTTTAAGTGACACCAAATTCGATTATCTCATATAATCTTGTAATAACAAATTAAATCCAAATAGTACTAATTAATACTCTCTATATGTAAATATTGTAATCAAGATGCGAGGCATTTGAAGATTTGGATAGGAATTTCTTTATGATCATAGACACTATCTTTGTCGATTTAGAAAGTGATGAGATCTACATTTTTCCTAAAATTTACGGAAATTTATATTCCTATCGATGTCGAAAACGTTTTTGAATTCTTATAATATCTAGAAATCATTATTTTTACCAATCTAGGTAAGTTCTAAATACCAGATATGTCTAAATGCAGAAGACACCATCTGTATCAATCTGGATGATTACACCCTAACATCATAGAATGAATCAATGCATACATAATATATGGAGATTTAAGATCAGCGTCGCAAAACAAGCCATAAAGGCAACCATCTATCAATCGCAACCAAGGCCAAAATATACAAGGGTTACGTATGCAGCGGAAGCAAAAGTCGACACAATTCGAGTATCCGGATATACTCTAATGAATCGTAAGAGAAACACAGAAATGAGAGAAAAATGCAACACTCCAGAGATCGTCGGATGGGTTCGGCAGAGACGGTGAAAATGTATCAAAAATGTCAGTCGTGTCTGGAAAAATGTGCAAAAGAAGCCAAAACATACACAAAAAGACTGATAGACTTTCAAAGCGATGGAAAGTCAGCTGGACCTCAGTATCACAGAAGAAGTAGAACCAGGAATTACGAAGCGTCACAATAAGCCAGAAGAAGTTTCTACTTTTATTGATTCTTCATCTCAGAAACCTATATCGATTAAAGTATTTAGGTTTAAGACAAGTCGGAACGGATTAGATTAGACGGATTAGATTGGGCTGGGTAGTATCAAAATATACAAAAAAAACTCTGGACAATGTATGGGATATAGGCCACTCTATCTCTTAGATACAACTGAGAAGTTATTGGAAGGCTTACTAAGAAACCGGTTACAATTCGGTTACAAGTTGATAACAACACTCTTTTAAGACAATCAATACGGTTATAGAAAAGGGGGATCAACAGGGGGGAAAATCGTTTATAAAATAAAGGAATAAGCTTTAAAGATGAAAGAAGTTTAATTTTCTGTTCTCATTTAATTCCGCACCATGCAAACAATAGTAACAGTGCTAATAGAGGGAAATACCAACCCGTATTTATTGGAAATGATAAAGAGATATCTCTCTGAAAGGAATGTAATAGCTCCGAATGGAAAGATCTACAAAGTACTTTGCGAAGTATCACAAGCAGTGGTACTATGCAGTATTGAAAACTGACCTGGTACTTGAGCAGAGACGGAGGACAGTTAGAAGAGAAGGCGAAATAGGAATATAGCTGAGCAAAAAAGAGAACTGGTATTATTGCAAGTGAGAAGGAAATTAAGAACCCTGAACTAACAAGTAAATGGTACTGTAATCTACAGTTTGGAGAAAGGTAAATATTTAGGAGTGTTTCTTAATAAAGACATTCCTGTGATAAAACACGTAGTAGATTAACAAATAAAGCAACTTTCGTGTATAACCTAATTCTGAGGCTGATACCAAGTTTGGGAGCACCAAAGTCAAGGAGAAGACGATTATTATCAACAGTGACGTTTGTAATTCTATACACTAGACCAACGTGGTGACGATGTCTAAAGTACAAACGCATTCAGGAATTACTGACGATGGTAAATAGAAGACTTACGATATGCGTCGACATATCGTACGGCACCAACGGAAGATATTCAAGTAAAAGCGGGATTACCTACTAATATTGAGAATTTTAAAAAAGGGTGCCAACAAAAGTTGTTCCTTGTTTAATTCTCAACAAGTTTTATTTGATACAAACAATAATTAGGAAGATAATCTTGAATTCCATTACTGTACTGTTCGCAGGGAAATAAAAAAATTAATAATTTTAAAAAATAGTACCAACAAAAGTTGTTCCTTGTTTAATTCTCAACAAGTTTTATTTGAAAAATATTTTGATACAAACTATAATTAGGAAGATAATCTTGAATTCCATTTCTTGAACAACAAGGTTGTTCCTTTTCTAATTCTTAACAAGTTTTATTTGGACTCTAATGGACCTATTAGTCAAAGAGAGAGCACGACTATATTTTCAAGCGGTTCTGGAGAGAAGACGTGGAAAGAGGTTATCCTCAGCAGTAAAAACAAAATTGAGCAATGATTTTAGAAGTATCTCTAAGCCAATAGCGAAAAATCTAATCAAAAACGATTAAATTGAAATATTCTACGGGAAATTATATATCGTGATTATGTCGTCATTTTAAAATGAACAAAATGATCGTTATGTCCAATACAAAAGTTAAAATAGTTTTCTCCAATGTCTCTGTCGTGCGATATGAAATAAATATCATTACTTCTCAAAGCTGATTAGATGAGAGATTACCATAACGTTATAATATTAGTTATTAAGGCTGTTTGAGTCTTTATCGCACTATAGAGCTCCTCCATTAATGGTTGGTGAGATCTCACCATGTTTTAGGAAAAGTTTGGAATGTGCTTTGTGACAAGTATATTGTTAGGCTAAGCTATCATTGTTGGAAAAACTTTGAAAAATTTTTAATAAAAGTTACAGCTTATCAAGAGTTGAACTGTTTTAGAATTTATGAAAATACTTAACACCATATTTTATCGGGTTTGATGCAACTTAAAACTGTTTATCAATTGTCAATTTATACACTTCCGATACTAGTAGATACTTCCGGTCTACCGGAAGTGGACCATAACTTCGTTATTTTAAATGGAATGCTATAGTTCTTATTACGCCTTTTAATTGTACGTAAAAAAATATGTTGACTTTCATAAAAGTTATTGGTACCTACCGTCTTTCGTTTTCGAGTTATTTTGATTGTAAATTTTTAAAATGCCACAATTGGTCTCAACTTGCTACCAATTAATACGCTCGGTACACATATAACGTATACCAAATTTGGTTTTTCTAGCTTAATGTATTATACGAAAATATTGAATGTTTTAAAAATTTAAGACCCCACTTTGAAGACCTATAACTCCTCAAGGGTACAACTTAGTATAAAGATAAGTTGCGATAAATCATCTTAATTTATTGTCCTCTGCATGTCCCTGCTCTCTGTCGATTCTTATGTGAATCACCCTGTATATTACACCCAAACAAACCGTCTATTTTACGAATAAATTAAAAAAGGAAGGTTGCATATCAACCCCATTTCTCTAATTTTAAAAATAAACGAAATATGAGCATAACTCATAGTAAGTTACTTTCACAACTTTTTTTTCTATCTCTTTTAGTTTCGGAGATAGCCTATGCGTACATCGAAATTGGGACACCTGTACAATTAAATGGTGTAATAAAAACTATAGCTTTCCATTTAAAATAACGAAGTTATGGTCTACTTCCGGTAGACCGGAAAAAAATATTTTAGATCGAAAGTTTCGAATGAATAACCCATGCTATAGTAGAAACCACGAGAGCTGGCAGTGACAGATCGCTTAAAAATGGTATGAATCAAGATATGGACGTACGACTTAGATTATTTCACCATATACATTTAAATGTAGGTTATGTTAGTTAAATGGAGGTTATATGTCAAACATTGTCAAAGATATTATTTAATGATTAATGATTTTCCTTTTCAAAGAAAACATTTTCGGCTTGTAAAAACACTAACAGATTCATGACAACGCTCACAAGACGTTTCGATTTGAGGTTATAATTGTAGAGTTACATCCAACTTGACGTTGGCGGGGTGAGGTGGGAAACTTGACGTCATTGGAGGAAAAATATAACAATAAAGGTGTCCCAAAATTAACGCAAGATTTCAATTTGCCGCCATTCATGCAGTAAAGTGTTGACAACCCTAAAAAAAAATAAATCGACAGTTGACAGTTTAGGGTTAGTAAAAATGGAGCGTTACACAATAGAACAACGTGTCTTCATTATTGAACAATATTTCAAAAATAATGACTGCTTGGCGGCCGCAGTTCGAAAATTTCGTACAAAATATGGTCGGAATACTGTTTTAACTTCGTCAACTGTGAAGAGATTAATTGAAAATTTTCGGGAGACAGGATCCGTTGGAGACACCAAACACACTGGTCGTCCAAAAACAAGCCGTTCAAATGTCAATATCGAAGCAGTGCGTGCGAGTGTCGGCGACAATCCAGGAACCTCAATTCGGCGTAGTGGACAAGAATTGCAAATTTCAAGAAGCTCTCTACAGCGTATACTCACTAAAGATCTGTGCCTACATGCTTACAAAATTCAATTAACACAACAACTGAAGCCCAATGACCATGCACAGCGTAGAGAGTTTGTTGAATGGATTATTGAGCATCAACAAATGAATGCTGATTTTTCGAGCAAAATCATCCTAAGCGACGAAGCACATTTTCACCTTGATGGGTTTGTTAATCGCCAAAACTGCCGCTTTTGGGGTTCTGAAAACCCACATGTGATTGTCGAAAAACAAATGCATCCACAACGTGTCACTGTTTGGTGTGGATTTTGGGCTGGAGCCGTAATTGGACCATACTTTTTTGAAAATGAGGCTGGTCAAGCAGTGACTGTTACTGGTGCTCGATATCGCGACATGTTAACACAGTTCTTTTTGCCGAAATTGAATGATACAATCAAAAGACTAAAAACTGTGTTTTCTATTTAATTCAAATCTTGCGTTCATTTTGAGACACCTTTATGATACAATATAAATTTAATAGAATATAATAATAATATTTATGTAAATAATTATTTAAAAATTAAACAAGTGTTATTAAACTCAAGAAATAAGGAGTTTCTGTTGGTTTACGTATATAAATGAAAACAGAAATGACAATTCTTCCAATGACGTTACAACAAGGCCTTTGTCGATGGGCCTTTGCGGAGGGGATACGTTCATAGGGAGTTGGATAACCTTATATAGTATGTTTACTCAACGGACCTTGTCCCTTAGAAGAACAGACGTACTTTTTCGACGTGCCCATTTGAATTATACAGCAGACATATTAAACTAATGCTATCTCTTTCTAACACACATTACTCTCTAGCGGTTTGTGAACTACGTATGGCATTTGTAAGAGTGGAAATCGATGATTTACTGCCAGCTCTCGTGGCGTCTACTATACCAAAATTTCAAATGTCTACGAATAGTGGAACCTGCAGACGTTCTAACGAACCAGTTACGTGAGACACCTGTATTTAATCTTTACTGTTTATCCCAAGCAGAGTTGCCACCAACCCGTTTGCACCGGGAGAAGCCAGTTTTAATGTTTTTAGTATGAGTCACTTATTAATTTATCCGGTTTTAATAAAAATTAATAATTAAAAAAAAAATTTAATGCACATTATTAACGAATTACTTAAACTTGACATTGTAGCAACACTGATCCTGAGGATTACGTTGTAAACCATTAATCCATATTAACCTTAATTTAAATCGCCCCAAATCATATTAACTTAATACCTTATAATAATAATGACCTTAAAATCGGAAATGTATAGCAAAAAAGTTAATACTTACATAATTGTATTTAAATGAAGATCATGTTTCGACTTGTTTTAAAAAAATCTTCAATTTAAAAATGATTTTAAAAAAAATTAAATTGCATTAAAGGGTTAAATCATAAAAATAAAAATTTGAAATAATTTTTTTACGTATTTGTGATGAAATAAAATTTTTTTAGACCTGTTTTCAAACTTTCCCTAATAAATCATGTACGTAAAGCTTCTTTCGGTAACCCCGTCTCAAAAACATTCGAAATATCACGTAAATAATCAATAGAAATGAAACGGAATAAAGGATACACATACTCGTATCTAATCCTTTCAGAGCTGCCAAGTTCGACGACGATTTATCGTGAAAATTTTCTTCTAAATTTCCTTCCAACCCCGCGTGAAGTACTCTCGAATCCGATCCGATATATCTCACATGAACCCCACCATACATAACTTTTAAATATTTTAAGACTTCAACTAAATTCCAACTTCCGTTTGTGTAACGACACGTTGGGCAATTCTCAGAGGAAGGAAATTGTACTTTAGGGTATTGAGGGTCTTCGGTGTCATCCCCGGCTAATCTTTTATTAGCATCATTATGAGCCATCCATAACCAAATAATAGCCGAGTCTAAACTTTCAACTTGACGCATATTTTTTTTAACAGTCATTTCAAGGAAATGTTGCGCGCAATCGTGGCAACCAAAAAAGTTTTTGATATAACCTTCCATCGCTAATAATACTTCTAAAGGTTTATCTTTTTCAGTTGATAATTCAGCTGCATTTACAGTCAAGAAATGAAACATTTTCCATAACCCGCATGGATACCCCCGATGCTCTGGGGAACTTCCCTCGCAACCTAACCAATTTTCTGATGACGAAAATAACGGATTAATTTCGGTTTCAGCGGATTTGATTATGTTAGAAATTTCTTTTCCTTCGATTGATGTTGTTGAAACAATTTTTTGTTTTAAATCGTTTAAAAATTGTTTTGCATTTTTCCCTAATGGGAAATATTTAATAATAACATCTAAATAATTAATCAAAGCAGTTCTTTTTTCGTTTTCTATCACTTTAACGCGAGATACTTCGCGTTTTAACGACCACCTCAACGCTGTTTCTAAATCCATTTGAAAAACTACATCTTTCATTTTTTTTATTTTTTCTTTAAGCGCCCTTTTTTCGTATGCTTCTAATAAAGCGATTGAATCAGGAACTTCAGATTCTAACCATTTTCCGGTAAATATCTCGCTTTTCTTCTTTTCTTCTTCTTCTTCCACAGGAGGTATTTCAATCATTTTTCGTTCCATAAATTGTCTTATTGCCATTTTCATGCTTTCGCGACTTTTTAAACCATCTGCAAACTTTTGTGTATTCTTTTCTGAGTCCATTACAATCATGGAAGGAAATATTTCAATTTGTGCGAATTTTATTAAGGCGGAATTGTTGGGATATGTAAAACGTACGATTATTTCTTTAACGCTTTGTAAATCTAACGCAACTTCTGCGCCGGTTAAAGAATCATCTTTGTCAAAAATTAAAATGCCATATTTTGCGTTATTATCTTTTATATCGGCGTATAACTCGTTTAAATTAGTTTGATTATATGGTTTTAAACCGCGATATTGCTTACCACGACCTTCTAAAACATCGGTTATGATCTGGTTAACTAAGTGGCGTTTTTGTTGGGCCATATCTTCTCCTTTTGAGACTCCAACGCCGTATTTTCCTTGTTCGTAATCTTCGTGGAAATACCTCAACGTTGGGAAACTCATTATTTCAAATTCACGGCAAATTGGGGAATTATCTTCGTTTGAGCAATCGATAGCTCCGATTTTAACCATATCTTTCCAATTTCGGGTATCACTCCCCAATGATTTCCATAAGGGGGCGTATCGTTGACAAAACCCACACCAGCTGTTATAAAATTCTATAAACCACGCGTTTTTCTGACCGTATAATTCCCCATTAAAATTACTCGCCGTTAAAACATGCACATCGTCGTCAGTCGTGTATAAACCTTGTCCTTCAATTAAACTTTTATACTTTTCTTGTTCTTTTAATGTTAACGAAGCGCATTGTGATGATTTTATATTAAATATTACAACTATTAACACAGAAAACACTAAAAAACTTTTTGTCAATGATGACATTCTCGTAGCTTTTTAATTCGCTTTCTTTAAAAGCTTTGATTTGAATCGGTTTCGTGCCGTATTTCGAGGTTATGTATGTTTTGACAGTTCGACGTGGCGAGGTTATATCACGAACTCAACTGAGGAGAAATTTATAATTTACGTGATTTTAATGTACGATTTCGAATGTAACATCGAAATCCCCACCATATTTTCATTAATTATCACATTAACACACAATGTGTTAATACTCTTGGGAAATAATTAAAATTAAATTATCACGATAAAAAGTCTCATTAAAATGAAGATACTATTTTTTTTTTAAATATAAAATTTAATTGAGAAATTAGATTAATAATATTAAGTCTAGTTGATGAAACGTATAAATTTAAAAAAATAAATTTTTTAATTTAAAGTTGGTACTTTCCCCGCCAAAAACGTTCAACAACAAACCAGTTTTTCGTGGTAAAACTAGTCTTGGAAAAATGTTTGGTGTTTAACATAAGACTTTAAGTAAGCTTACGACAGTATCCACAGAGAAAAACTTCTCAGTTTCATGCAGGACTTCAACATCCCACCAAAACTGGTAAGATTTACGCGCTTTACTATGAATGAATTCGAAGGTAGGGTTAAAATACAAGGAAGCTTAACTGAAACTTTCAAGGTAAACCAAGTTCTGAAAGAAGGAGATGGACTGGCGCCAGTGCTTTCAACCTGGCGATGCAAAGTCCATTGAGTAAACATACTGTATAAAGTTATCCAACTCCCTATGAACACTGTTCTTATGAACGTATCCTCCCCGCAAAGGCCTTGTTGTGGCGTCATTGGAAGAATTGTCATTTCTGTTTTCATTTATATACGTAAACCAACACAAACTCTTTATTTCTTGAGTTTAATAACACTTGTTTAATTTTTAAATAATTATTAACATAAATATTATTATTATATTACATTAAATTTATATTATATCATATTATGTTATATGTTTCCTCCAAAGACATCATGTTTCCCACCTCACCCCGTCAACGTCAATTTGTTCGAGTTGGATAACCTTATAACGCTTATAACCAATACTCAACGGACCTTGCTGGCGATGGATCATGCAATAAAAAACCGACAGTGCATGTCAATTCATCACTATTACATAAGTCGAAGTAACTAGTAGGATATGTGGACGACATTAACATAATGAGAGGGAATGTGAACGCCATAAGGGAGCCTTCACAGAGCTGGAGAGAGCAGCAGGAGATGTGGGCCTGAAGATTAACGAAAGCAAAACAAAGGTGCTCATACAATCGAGAAATAACAGAAGGCAAAAGCTAACGTTTGGAGATAGTAATTTTGAGGTCGTGAATGACTTTGTGTATCTTGGCACCACTATACCCAATATCCGGGATGAAATGAGAGAAATACGCAGAAGAATTACCAGCGCAAATAAGACGTACTACGCCCTGTCCAACCTTGTCAAGTCTGGAAACGTCCATAGAAAAAATAAAGATACAGCTTTATAAGACAATTATACGACCAACCCTATGCTGTGATAGTAAAGTTTGGATACTGCCACAAAAGGCCGAATCAAATCTAAATGCTCGGCATTTAGTTAGGCATTTAGGCACCAACGTTCGGCACCAGCGCTCCGAACGGCTCGGCCCATTACTAATATTAAATAGCGGCTAACGTGATAAATCTTAAAAATAAAATTTTCTAATTTTTTTGTGTGGAATTAAATAAAAAAAATAAAGACATTTGTGGGATTTTAATAATCTTTTTATTAAAATTATTATCATAACCATAAAGTCTTATTTTAATATAAAAGAACAATAACTATAAACAATGTGTAATGATCTAATGATTAATGATACACTGTTAAAAATTTTACNCTAGTTGATGAAACGTATAAATTTAAAAAAATAAATTTTTTAATTTAAAGTTGGTACTTTCCCCGCCAAAAACGTTCAACAACGAACCAGTTTTTCGTGATAAAACTAGTCTTGGAAAAATGTTTGGTGTTTAACAAGACTTTAAGCACAGAGTATATACTCTGTGACTTTAAGTAAGCTTACGACAGTATCCACAGAGAAAAACTTCTCAGTTTCATGCAGGATTTTCCCACCAAAACTGGTAAGATTAACATGCTTTACTTATGAATTATGAATTAATTCGCAGATAGAATTAAAATACAAGGAAGCTTAACTGAAGCTTTCAAGATAAACCAAGTTCTGAAACAAGGAGATGGACTGGCGCCAGTGCTGTTTAACCTGGCGATGCAAGGTCCGTTGAATAAACATACTGTATAAGGTTATCCAACTCCCTATGAACACTGTTCTTATGAACGTTATGAACGTATCCTCCCCGCAAAGGCCTTGCTGTGACGTCATTGGAAGAATTGTCATTTCTATGTTTTCATTTATACAAGATGTTTCAGATTTTTCTGGCAGGACTTAAGTCGATAGATCTTTTAAAATTAACACAAAAACTTCATATAAACATAAGTCGACAAACGCTTTGTTTTGGAGATACAGGGTGTTCAAATTAAAATTTTAAATTGATTTTTATTTAATATTACACGTGTATTTTAACCGATTCTATTCAAATTTGGTATAGGGAGGTTTTTTGGAATGAGAAAGTGGAATATAGAGTCCGTTTTACTATAGCCGCTCTGTAACGTACTCTTTACGGATTAAAATAACAATAACTTTTCTGACAGTACACTTTTTAGCCTTTTGAATAAAAATTCTTATTCTCGGTACTTTTTTAAGCAAAAATAGTACTCTTATCAAAATGCGATCTAAAGTTGATCGTTTTCAAGATAATCCGCTTTTTGTTCATTTTTTGATTTTTTGTTTGCTACATAAAAACTTTATAAAATGTCGTGTATTTTTCCTAACCAAGAGTTAGCGGATATTCATTTTGTTTATCGGTTTGCAAACGGAAATTCAGCAGAAGTAACCCTAGAGTATAGGGGAAGATATCCAAATAGAAGACATCTGTCCGCATCCTTCTGTGTTTGCGAAAGTCATCGAGATACATATACTTTACTGGAGTGTGTGCTCACGATATTCGCTTTGTCGAGAAAACGGTCCGATTCGCCAGCATGTTCCTCCTCCACCCCATAACGGCAAGAAATACAAATTTTAATAGTACTAACTAATGGATATAATTCAGCATGAATTTATTCAATATTTACTAAGTAATTCAAATAATGTTATACAATAATGATGAAAAATAATAATACATATTTAAGTTATTATAGTTTAGGAAAAAAAAAATAATAAATATTACGTACGGAACTGAAGCTTTTTGCCGTTATGGGGTGACGACTCGTTTTCTAGTTCAAAGCACGCACTCCAGTAAATATAGTATATCTCGATGGTGAAAGTACATAGACAAATAGATGAACAACAAGGGTTAAATAACGACGGGTAGATCGTAATAATAACAATGCTAGGGTGCAAAGAAACTTTAGAAGAAGAATTTTGCGTGAGTTTGACAGAGACCCCACTACAAGTATTAAAAGAGTTTCGAATACCTTACAAATTTCTAGGGCGCGTGTTTATCGCCTCTTAAAAAATGTTATAGACATGCTTATCATTTACAACTTTTGCAAAGATTGCAACCAGGCGATGAAGAATGGCGAGTAGCAACACTGCTTCGGCTTCTTATATAACACGTTCTTGTTGAAAACTAAGGTTTATTGTTTATTTTTAAACTGATGGCGCTACTATGGCTGTTATATGACATGATTAACACGATTAACAGTTTTAATGTCTTTTTAAATGTATATACTATCGATTGGCCAACTCGGGTTTTCGCCAAACCGAGTTAACCGAGTGTAAAATTTGCGTAAACAAGTGGTATTTTTTAGGTAGTGTCGGACATTGTTATTAAAATTGTACCGCAGGCAATAAATAAAATACTTACTATAATTCAGAAAAGAATACATTTTAACGAATCTACACTAATTCAAAGTTGAATTATAAGAATATTTTTTAATACAGTTTATTGAAAAACAGTATTTGATTAAGTTTTTGGGATGCTAGTCGGTTTCTTCGTTCATTACTCATTATATAAAATACTCGCTTTAGGAAACAGTTTTTCGGATGGCACCGAAGTCGCTGGTATACAGAGGTATTTATGCGCTATTTTAGCTAACTTCGTAAAAAGACTTTTTTTTCACTCCAGTATTGTTTATATAGTTTTATCATTCTGGCTGCTGGACAAGTTGTAGTGGAGTTGGACATACAATAGTAGAAGTAGAAGCAGCGTCAAAAACAGTAGATGTAGAAGTTTGGTCGGTTAAGTTCAAGTTTAGTTCATTTATTATCCACATTTGTCCATTGTTAGCGTTGCTTTCTGAACTAAACGCTGTTTATTTATATCGCGGATCAAGAAAACTAGCTTTTGCTGCTGTCATTGGAGTTTTTCTATTTATGGTATGTCGTAGATCGAATACAAGAGGTATAACAGATGATAGCGATGGATACTTTTCCACGGATAAAATTGCAGTTACCTTTTCAAACGGATGTTGGACTTTTCGGAATCCAGATTCGGTGGAGGTGATACCAGTGTCGGTAAAGTAGCAGAAAGCGGAACCTTGAGCTTTAATAGGCGTTGGAGCATATGAAAAGTACTGTTCCAGCGAGTGCGAACATCTTGCTTTAATTTGATTACATTCAAATTCATTTGCATGCCGACCAAGGCATATGAAGATTTTGTGCTATGTTTAAAATATGAAACAATCGCTCGGCATTTATTTATTACTTGCAATAACTGATTATTATTAGCAGTGGTATCTTTTTCTGTCAAAACACAGAAATAGTTTTGCTTAGTTCAAATTTCGCTAACTGCTTTTTTCATTAAAGCTGCATTGTCTGCACTATTTTAGAACTTACCACTCATCCAATATTTGTTGAATAACATTTGCTATATTTTCATCTGTATGGTTGCAATTTCGTATCTTCTATAAAACGGGCGGTTACACTAATGAACCTTTTATTACAGTCTGACGACCAAATATCTAATGTCAAAGCAACATCACACAACACTCAATGTTATAGTCTTCTTCCAACATCTAAGTCAATTTTTTTCTCGAAGGCAGTTCATGATCGGTATTTAATATTTTGGTGTATTTGAAAACCTTTATTTTCGACAATTTGTTTCGAAAATTTTTTGTGGTACGGTTAAGCGAGTTTGCTTGAATCGTTTTATTGGAGGTTCAACATCAAAAGATAGGTGGTAGCGACAAAAGCGGTTCGATTAAAATGTTATTTTCAGTTTAACTTAACGACGATGTCGAGTTGGAGGGCTGTTTACTTTTAGTTGTAAAACTATTATCATCGAAGTCTACAATATTCACTAGGATACTTTTTTTTAATATGATTTATCAATGTGCTGGTGTTTCCAGAATATTTGTAAGTTTCCGAAGATATTTTGCATTTCACTTTTTCAGCTACAGGCGAATTTAAATCAAAAACTTCCCAAACCAGTATTTTTTAGGTCCCGGTATTGTCCAATCTCCAATCACATGCACTAAAACACAAGTTATCGCACTTTTAAAAATTTCGTTCGATTCCCATTTCTGTACGCTGACTTGAACTCAAATAAAATCCGGTTCGGTCGGCAAGACGTCCGTTAATCCTGGTTAATCCTAGGCACTATACCACTGCCACTGGTGATCGCGAAAAGCGTGGCGTAAACCCAATTGGAGTTAGAAAGTCAAACCTAATGGAACCAAGGCAGCTATGCTGCTATGTATCATTCTAAAAAATAAGATGTAATGCATGTCCTCAAGTATTAATGCAACTGCCTTGGCAGCAAGACCACTTTGTCTTCTTATACAGGATGATTCAAAAAACCTCTGACAGACTTCTAGAGTAGTCTTAATATACATGGGGTCGCAAATGCCTCGTTGGCGATATAGCGGATCAAAGTTTCTATAAAATTAAACATTATCTGCAATAAAAAGCACTTTTTTAAAAATATTATTTACGCCATTTTTAGTTTTAAAGAAACTTTGACCCGATATATCTTGTTCAGGAGGCATTTGCGATCCCATGTATATTAAGACTTTTCATCTTAATTTTTGATGTATTACCTGCCCTAGGAGTCTGTCAGCGGTTTTTTGAATCACCTATATAATACATTCTTGTTGCAAAATACATAGTTTACTGTTTATTTGATTCATTTATTTGATATTAAATTGATTAATTATAACAAAATCATTGCTTTAATTAAAAATTTATGACTTTTATTTATTACAAGATTCCTTCATAATTTTATTTGGTAAATTAAACAACTTTCGCACAGACGCTCCATAATTTTCTAACGTATACTCACTTTCACCTAAAAAAAATAAAGCAATGAATAAATTAATTTACTTTTAATAACCCATCTCACCTTCGTTCATTAATTCGGAAACACGTTGTGAATACTCATTACAATTATCAATTTCTTCTGCTNCATGTGAAAAAAAATATGCCTCAGTCCTAACAACATTTTGATAATTTTATACACATACCTACTGGCAAATTTAATGATGGTACTACTCCTTTCAACAATTTGTTGTTACGTCCAACATCCCCTCGTCGAAAAGGCTTATCACAAACTCGAAAATTATTATAAACCCTCAAGTGTTCACACTGAAGCAGGTTTTCTCGCACACAACATAAAACCCATCTTTGATATATTTCTGGATACATTTGTGGGCTTGGAAATCGGTAGAAATTTCCATACCTTTGTACGCATCCACTAATGGCGCAACTTTTTGACATTTTCTGCTACAAGAAAATAAGATGCATATATATTTATTTTACAAATACCTAATCCAGTTCCATAATCAATGTTTAAATTTCAGAGGTTTTTTATGAGCATTAGTTTTCATATTATTTTAAGGGCAACTTATATTTAAAAATTTATTATGAAACTGGAGATCACAATATAATAATATGAAATTAATAAAAAAAAGTATATCAAATGTACTTACCACGAATAAAATTTCGTAAATTTCTTTAAAATTTCGTAAATTTCTTTAAAATTTACTATCAAACACAAAGCCGCATCAAAACACTAACCAACTTGACAAACAACTTAGAAAACAGTAGAAAAACAAATTGACGAAACGACTACTTAAATCCTAAAATATATATTAATTTAAACTGCCAAGATAAAGTAGATATCTACATAAACATAACGCAATATAACGCCATCTATCCCGTCGGCCCGATACTAAAAATGACGTCACTTTGTACGAACAAGACGTTAATAAGTGCCAGGGGTATGCATACAACCATAAGCTATACAATCTCTTTAACACTCCAATAGTCGCATGTCATGTGTTTACTAAGCTGTTAATACTTTTGCATCATAAAAAAATATATATACAGGTTGTCATACAAGAATGTCACAAGCTGTAACTGTCATTTACATTCTGATTTTCATGAACGAGGTATCAAATGAAATGGTTTGATGAATACTATGATTCATGCCACAAATAAATTTTTTGCAACGCCATCTTCAATTTCAAGTGATTATTAACTTTTATTTCTCAAATTGCTGCGTATATTTTTCTTCCCGTCATTGGATAGAGTTTGTTTTTCTGAATCCATTGATGTACAATACATCCATTTTAAATGTAATATTAGCAGAGAAAAAACACCAGTATATATAGAGGTTGTCACACAAGAATGCCGCAAGCTGTAACTCTGTCATTTACATTCCGATTTTCATGAGCGAGGTATCAAATGAAAAGGTTTCATTAATACTATGATTCATGCTACAAATAAACTTTTTCCAACACCATCTTCAATTTCAAGCGATTATTAACTTTTGACTCTCAAATTGCTCTATATATTTATCCCCCCATCCTCCTGTATATATTTTGCATGCATTGAAAAGTCATCTAAGAGACGACGTAGCGACGTAGACAGTCTGCCTGGACTAACCTGTTTGTAATACTGTTTGTAATAGAAATATATATACAGGTGGTTCAGTTTTTAATCGCGAAACTTTACTAGGTCGTAGTACTCAAAATAACACAAGTTTTTTATATAAACGTAGGGTCGCAACTCGTTTGTCGAGCTATGAGCTGTCAAAGTTGATCCAAAAATTTACATTTTTATTTGTATTCCGGCTGTAAGTAAACCGTAGAATTTGAAACTTTATACGTATTTACTACTGGTTAAGACCTTATTTTCAAGCATACCTTAAACTTCCCTAGGGCTCCCGAAGGAGATGAAATTAACAACCCCCTTGATGTTTTTTATAAGAACTTTTTAACGTTATGGAATGAATATTAAGATAAAAAATATGGGTTGTAAAGCTCATTCTTTAGTGGTACTTTTTTGTCTCTTTGGTATTTTTCTTAAAGTTAATAGTTTCCGTGTAAAAAAATAAAATGTCGTACATGTATCGCTATGTGCCTCCATGTTTAGCTAAAATTATTCTAAAAGTTGGCTTTGAGAACTTGTAAGTTTCATTTACGGTGAATCCTCATAATTGTTGATGATTATTAATAATTTTTGACTATTATTAAGCAAGAGTATGAATTTTTTAATATTGTTTAAAACAACGTAATTTGTTCAGACAAACATTCATCTTATTTATGGTTTTTCTTATGAAAATCACAATTAATTGGTGTTATTTAGTTAGTACTAGATCCTAGTAAGTGCACAACTTCCATAGCCAGCTATAAAGAAAAATGTTCTTTTAATAATAGCAGCGCTTTATGCTGTTTACGCTTTTGAAAAGTGATCCAAAGATTCCTAAGTTTGTACCAGTTCATTGTATAGTACTAATTCATCGCGAACATATTATAAGTAAATATTTAAAATTTGAAAACGTGTTGAATATAGTGTTGAACATAATAAACTTTATTCGTGTAAATGCAAAAACTCATCGTCAGTTCAAGAACTTTTTAGAAGAATTGAAAGTGGAAGGAGATGAATCAGCGAATGACATATCATTTTACTGTATTGTAAGATGGGTATTAGTTTATAACGTTTTGAGTCGATTCAATGAATTACTAACTCCATTTCCATATTTTTAAAAGAACAAAGAAGGCAATGTCTAGAGCTGGAAGACGAAAACTGCCTTCAAGATTTAATGTTTCTGACTGACACCATGCAGCACTTACAAACTCTCAATTTATTTTATTTTTTGCAACGAACATAAAAAACTATATGTGACTGGTCTCAAACTGTAAATCAAAACTTTAGCTTTTTCAAAATAATCTGAAGTCAAAAACATTTAAACATTTTCCTCGTTTAAAAGCAAAATTTTTTTAATATTACGGAAGATAAAATTAATGAATATCAAGAAAAATTGAAGAGATCATAACGAATTTTAAAACCTGATTTAAAGATCTGAGAAATTTCAAATCAACCATTTCATTTTTTTGTCAATCTATTTGCAATTGATATAATTCAAGATGATCGGGAGAACTAGGTACTAGAAATGAAAGATTATAAATTCAGCATAAATTAAAGAAAGCAGCTTGTCGACTATTTTCTTTTTGTGGTACAATACATTCTTGTGGGAGTTTATACACACATGAAGTTAGTTAAGACAAAATATCGCTCACAATTAATTAATCAACATCTCAAAGAATTCTTGCAAACCACCTTGATAAATTATACGCGGAATTTTAAAAAATTATCAAAGGAAAATCGGCTGAGTTTATATTTATTAAATATTTTGTGTTTTGTTAGCTGTTTTTCTATTATCTTTTACTTTTCAATACATATTCCCATAACTATCGAATCCAATTTTGTTGATTGAGATTTTGTTGATCTCACCTCTACCCACCCCTTCCTCATACCTCGGCGGCACAGCGGCCTCGGTTCAATCTTATTTATCGTTGTAAAAAATAAGGATTCTTATATAAAACGTTCTTATTGCAAAATAGAGTTTACTGTTTATTTTTAACTAACTCAGCAGAGCTGCTGAGGCAGTTATATAACATTATTAACTCAAATAACAGTTTTACATATATTTATTTAAACAAAAATTGATAAATTATAACAAAATCATTGCTTTAATTAAAAATTTATTACTTTTATTTATTACAAGATTCTTTCATAATTTTATTTGGTAAATTAAACAACTTTCGCACAGACGCTCCATAATTTTCTAATGTATACTCACTTTCACCTAAAAAAAATAAAGCAATGAATAAATTAATTTACTTTTAATAACCCATCTCACCTTCGTTCATTAATTCGGAAACACGTTGTGAATACTCATTACAATTATCAATTTCTTCTGCTTTTTTCCCAAATAATTCTTCAACACATTTTTTCGAAGCGTTATTCTCCCAAATATAAACTTCCATATCAGCTTCGCTCTTTAGTTTTTCCCAACTTTCAACGTTAAAACTCTCATGATACAAGGCAGTTAATAAATACATTGCGTAATCGTAATTTTGTTGTCTCGTTGGGCAACGATCAGTAACAAGAGTAAAAATGTCAGTTTTTTCGTCGTATCGATCACCAACGAGTCGTCTAAATTTATCCGTTGCGTGATTATCAAGATTTAATGTAGACAATTTAATTTTTAATGTTACAATTCTCGATAGAGGATTTCTAATCGATGGTGATGAAAAACAATAATTCGAAGATGTAATTTCAATTGGAAAATGTTTTTCACATTGTTCATCAGTTTTCAAATTCTCGGGGAAAGGAGTACAAAACTTTTTTAATGCTTCACATTGTCTTTTAACGACGGGTGGTGTTAAATGAAGAAAATTCGGTATTTTCATTAATTCCGCATTGGCAAATTTGCCAGGGGGTGCACCTTTTTCAGTGTAACCTTGTCTAATTGGTAAAGGAACAGTTGCTGGATGAAACGTACGTGGACCTGGCCAAACTGAACCCCAATCTTGATCAACAGCCATTTCGTAACACCTTGAATGTAATTTTATTATTTAGGTATGGTTATCTAAGGAAAAATTCAAGAATCATCATGTGGCTTAAAAATCAACGATTTATTTTAAACAAAATGAAATAGTGATTATAATATCATAATATAAATATTATAGATAGCCACCTGGAATGGTAATGGTGTTCTATCGCATAAAGAAACAAGTGTAGCTTTCTTATCATTACAGAAGATTGATATTTTACACATTACATAAACACATCTAACAAAACAACAAACTATTAATATAAGATTTTACAAAACATATCACCCCAGCAATCAAGCAAGAGGTGGAAGCGCAATTATTATAAGCGAAAATATCGAACACTACGAAGAAGTCCACCTGCAAAAGGAGGAAATACAGATGTGTGCAGTTTTGGTGTGAAAATCAATAATCAAAATATGTTGCAGCAGCATATTTTCAAAAATTTCAACAAACACAGAATGGGAATCAGAAGTCACAACTACAAAAAGGAAAGAACTACTGAAAGCCATTCAAGAGATTGAAGCCAATTATCATACATCAGGAAACCCAACCTACTGGCCTACAGATACGGATAAGACACCTGATTTATTCGATTTCTTTATATCAAAGAAATTTTCACTCAATTTTCTGGAAGTGCATGATAACTACGACCTAGCTTCGGATCATACTGCAGTCGAGTTTTAAGTGAAAAGATTATTGAAAAGGAAAGAAAACCAACCCTGACGAATGGTACAACGAATTGGGAAAGCTTTAGATTGGAACTTAAAGGAAGAATGCGGTTGAGCTTTCAACTGAACATTAAAGAACAACTGGAAGATGGAGTGGAAAACTTTGTACGAGAAGCTACTCTAGTGCTAGTGTAAAACTAGAACTAACACTAGACTGAGAACTAGAAACATTCGGATTTAGCCGCACGTCTCTCAAGACGGCTAAACCCTAATGATTCTAGTTCTAGGTCTTGGGTTAGTTTTAGTGTTAGTGTAAAACTAGAACTAACACTAGACCTAGAACTAGAAAGTATGTAACGTTTAAAAAGGGGGGTAGGGCATCAGGTATAGATATTAGATTATCTTTAGTTTATAGATGGTAAACAACACCATTTTAGTCGTTGTACGTAGAAAACCTAATAAACAACCGTATTTCACCCGAAAATATGCGTTTTAACCAAATGTGCTGCGAAAACACAGTGTGTTAATTAATTAACGTACCCGACGTCATCATTGCAAGTATGCAACCAATAACGCAATTTGCGTATTGCAATACGAACACTGTGATATTGGTTGCATACTTACAATGATGACATTGGGTAGGATAATTAATTAACACACTGTATAAAGTTATTTGACGACAAGGTTTTATAACCTATTTATCAAGTTTGACGTACAATTTCACAGCCGACTACTAAATTTACGCTTATTTTAAGTAACATTACGAAATAAGGGTCTTTAGTTATTTCAGTTTTTTATGAAAACGGCAAAGTTTTTCAAAAAATAATAAGAGTAAGAAAAGTTTTAGAATTAAATTCCACATGAAATGAAGTAGTAATGTATTAAATCCGCCAAAAGGTTAAAAAAATCTGTCCAAATTTAGGGTACCATCACCCTTAATCAACCGTTTGAAATGCCTTAATTGAGTTCAATTTGCTACCACTTAATACCCTTGGTACACCCATAATATATACCAAATTTGGTTTTTCTAGCTTAATTAATTACAAAAATATTGAACTTTTTAAAAATTTAAGTGCCAACTTTGAAGGCGTATAACTCCTCAGGTGTACAACTTAGTATAGAGATATGTTACTTTAAATCATCTTAATTTATTTTCCTCTACATGTCCCTGCTCTGTGTCAGTTCTTATGTGAATCACCCTGTATATGGCTAGCATGGTCGATGACGTCACAAAAAGTGACGTCATGTAGCAACTTTAAAGTGATTTTTCCGTAAATTTTACATTTTTCCATATTTTTTTTATTTGAACCGGCTTACTTGAGTGATTTCCCGTCTATTAAAAAAAATTGTCGATTTTTAAGCGACATAATGACTCTTGAATTATACCTAATCTTATTTTATGGTTACCTTGGTGGAGAAACAACATGTTTTTTAGGTTTTCTTCTTGGGGCTGTTTGCCCTTTTGTTCCTTTTAAGTTTAATGGTAAGAAATCCTCTGCAAAGATTAATGAATAAGAACATGTTGAGGTAAAAATTATAATGTTTAACCTTTTTTATGCTGCGCTTGATTGGAATAACATATTATTATTTTCGTGGAGTTGTTAAATAGCGTTGATTTAATAAAAACTCTGCTTAATAAAGCCATTTTAGTGTATTTTTCTCTTTTTAGACCTTTTAGACATCAAAAGTAATAAAGTGAGGTTAAGTTTAAAATCCTAAATCAAGGAAACGTTCTAAAAATGGAAAAATTAATTTAATTAAATTTTTTGATTATAAATTTATTATTAAATTATTTTAATGAGTTTTAATCATAATAATAATAAATTTTGAATAAATAAATTAGGATTAGGGGGAAGTTTAAAAAATTTAAAGTGAATTGACGTACCACCACTCCAGCGATAATTATAATCCGTGATGCACGATTTCCCAGGTAACCATCTAAAAACTGAAATATTTCGAATTTGACAGAGAATAAATTTAAAGTGAAAATTAATATAATCAAAATAAATGGACGAAGAGGAGCGAAATGTTTTAATGGTGCTTATTAATAGCCGTAAAAATAAAATTTGAAAACGATGAGGGTTTTGGAACCGAAAATCGGAACGTACCCGAACGTCGTGTATGTTGACAGATGTTGAATGACAGCGAGATCGTCCAGAAACACTGCAAAAACGAACTCCTTTGGCCGTTCTAAGAGCCTTCACGGCGTAAAAACCGCGTTCGAGAAAGGATTAGTCGCGGTAGATTTATTAGTTAAACACAATGATAAAACTGTTTTCGCTAAAGCAACAGAAGAAAGATGGGGAGGCTTCTCCTCGAGGGGGCAACCAAAAAAAACCTTCAGCAGCCCAATTACGTATCGCTAAAGGTATATTTTCAAAGATGTTATATTATAATTATTCTTAATTCGTATTTTTGTTTAGATATTAACGAATTAAATCTACCTAGAACTTGTACCACCGAATTTCCCGATCCCGATGATTTATTAACATTTAAACTTATTATTTGTCCAGATGAAGGATTTTATAGGACGGGAAGATTTGTGTTTAGCTTTAAAGTTGGTCCTAATTATCCTCATGAACCACCCAAGGTCAAATGTGAAACACAAGTAAGTAGTTTCTATTTATTTCTTTTAATAACCTTGAAAATTTTCTTTTTTACTTTCAAGGTTTATCATCCAAATATTGATCATCAAGGTAACGTCTGTTTAAATATACTCCGAGAAGATTGGAAACCCGTCTTAACGATTAACAGTATAGTTTATGGGCTTCAATATCTTTTCTTAGAACCAAATCCGGAAGATCCATTAAATAAAGAGGCAGCGGACGTTCTAACAAACAATAGACGTCTTTTCGAGCAGAACGTTCAAAAAGCAATGTGTGGGGGCTTGGTTGGGGGTCAATACTTTGATCGATGTCTGAAGTGAAATTTTGTCGTTATTTTTTTTTATTATTATTTTGTTCAAATGAACGTTTGTTTTTAAGGACATTAATTTAAGAATATAGTGATTGTAAGGTTGGAGGGAAACAGGATGTTAACGGAATACCCTGTTTCAATCAAGTTAAATCTGACTCCACTTTTTCAAAATACAAGCATTTGATATATAAAGTTATTAAAAGAAGAAATGTATTCTGGTGTATTATGATTTTTGAATTGTTCCCCTTTTTTCTTCTTTCTCTCTTATTCTCAAGGGGTTAAAAGCCTCCCTGTATTTTAGGAAATTAATAAAGATATTTTTTATTTATTTAGAGGTTATTTTATTTTAAAAATATAAAATATTTAATAGTAAAAATTAACTTAACTTTTTTTTTGTTTTCAGGAAGAGCTCCTTCTGGAACGTTTCTTCTTTTGAGTTGCCTTTTTTCGGGAACTTCTAGGTACGTGAGTAGAACTAGGCGGTGGGAGATCTTTAATTTGGAAAAATTCCGCGATTTTTCCCTCCAATTCAACAACGACTTCTTTCAGGTTGTATTTCGTGGCTTTTGCCCAACCAGCCATAATTTGTTTGAAGCAAGAATACAAATCGGCGTTGTGTAAAGCATCTTTATAATTGGAAAAGTTATCAACTAATTTTCTTGCACTTTTATCGTTGTATTGTATTTGGTGGAGACAAAATCCAACGTTTGAAAGGATATAATCATCTTCGTTGTTGATTAATTTTGCGCAGAAACGATCCACTAATCCCTCCATTAATTTGTTTTTATCAATCGAATCAAAAATAAACCTAAAATTAATCAGATTTAATTAAAATCGTTTAAATATACTCTTTTTTTGTAATTCGGAGGAGTGTTTTTAAAATTGAAGCGCCAAAAAGAAGGGTTGCTATTGGTCAGTTTGAAGCAAAAATTACACTAGGAAAATTCGACATGTTGCTGGCCGTCTAGAAACATTCGAGTTTAGTCGCACGTTTCTCAGTATGGCTAAACCCGAATGATTCTAGGTCTTGTATTAGTTCTAGGTATTGTGTTACTTCTAGTGATAGTGTAAAACTAGAACTGACACTAGACCGAGAACTAGAAACATTCGGGTTTAGCCGCACGTCTCTCAAGACGGCTAAAACCCGAATGATTATAGTTGTAGGTTTTGTGTTAGTTCTAGTGATTGTGCTAGTGTAAAACTAGAACTAACCCTAGAACTAGAAAGTATCGGGTTTAGTCGCACGTCTCTCAGGACGGCTAAACCCTAATGATTCTAGGTCTTGGGTTAGTTCTAGTGATAGTGTAAAACTAGAACTGACACTAGACCGAGAACTAGAAATATTCGGCTTTAGCCGCACGTCTCTCAAGACGGCTAAACCCGAATGGTTCTAGTTCTGGGTCTTGTGTTAGTACTAGTGATAGTGTAAAACTAGAACTAACACTAGACCGAGATCTAGAAACATTCGAGTTTAGCCGCACGTCTCTCAAGACGGCTAAACCCGAATGATTCTAGTTCTAGGTCTTGTGTTAGTTCTAGTGATGGTGGTATAGTCTATTTTAAACTAAGAGGAGTGAATCCGAAAGTCAGATTTACACTAGGAAATATCACCAGAAAATATCACTAGGTATTTTTAGCGGTAAATTTAAATTAATAATAGACTACCTAAGTCTGACGTCACAGAGGTGGGCGGAGCTTACACCGACTCCAAACAATTTCGTTGCTAACCACAGTTGCTAAGATAAATCGTCAAAAATTGTCATTTGAAATGTCATCACTTAGTTTATTTTATTTTAACACTAATGGAAAATTGCATATGGTGATTTACCGTTAGCAACACAGTTAGCAACGAAAATGTTTGGAGTCAGTATAAGCTCCGCCCATCTCTGTGACGTCAAGGCTTAGGTTGTCTATTATTATTATTTGTTTAATGTCATTCGAATGATCAATAGCCTAATCTCCAAATTCAAAATCGTTGTCAACAAGAACTAAAAATTGCCTGTGTATAAACCTTCCTCGCATTCAACCAATCACGTGCAAGGTCAATCTGGTAAGAAATTTAAAATGCTCCTCCTAGTTTAAAAACAGACTATAGTGTAAAACTAGAACTAACCCTAGAATTAGAAAATAACGGGTTTAGCCGCACGTCTCTCAAGACGGCTAAACCCGAATGATTCTAGTTCTAGGTTTTGTGTTACTTCTAGTGATAGTGCTAGTGTAAAACTAGAACTAACACTAGACCTAGAACTAGAAAGTATCGGGTTTAGCCGCACGTCTGTCAAGACGGCTAAACCCGAATGATTCTAGTTCTAGGTTTTGTGTTAGTTCTAGTGATTGTGCTAGTGTAAAACTAGAACTAACTCTAGAACTAGAAAGTATCGGGTTTAGCCGCACGTCTGTCAAGACGGCTAAACCCTAATTATTCTAGTTCTAGGTCTTGTGTTAGTTCTAGTGATAGTGTAAAACTAGAACTAACACTAGACCGAGAACTAGAAACATTCGGGTTTAGCCGCACGTCTCTCAAGACGGCTAAACCTGAATGATTCTAGTTCTGGGTCTTGTGTTAGCTCTAGTTATAGCGCTAGTGTAAAACTAGAACTAACCCTAGAACTAGAAAGTTCCGAATTTATCTAGTTCTAGTGTTAGTTTTAGTTCATTACAAGTATACAGGGTGTGTCAAATGTCTGGAATATAGCCAATAACTTCGCCATTTGTGGTTTTAAAGTATTTGCTTGTTTACATTGTTTTTTGTTTCGTTGTTATGGCAACCAACATTATTATTTTAAATGGGATGCATAAGTTTTTTTTGCATATTTTAGCTTTGTTCGTTGGGACTGCACTACTTGCACTAAGCAGTTTAGTGCAGATGTTGTGTATTCGTTGGGGATAGTGTAGTTTAGTGCAGTTGCACTCATACTGTTCGTTGGGCCATGCGCAGTGCAATTTCTTGCAGCCGGTGCAAGTTAGTGCAGATTTTGTTGCACCTGCTTTCGATTAAGTTAAAAAGGTGCAATGTAATTCAGTGTAACTAAAACGGCGGAATATTTGAAAGCGTGTTTTGTAATAATTAATATTTGGTGTATTAGAGAACACAGTACATTCAATCCCAGTAGAGGCAGTAGAAAACTGACAAGATAGTAGATAGATAAATGGACAAGATAGATTAAATCGGGGTGAATGGTATAGATTCGCGTATAACTTGAAGACGAAAGCAGCTATCGAAATGTGGTAAATGTAAACTGATATTCATTTTTAAAGAGCTTTTCATAAAGGCTTCAGGGGGTAAACTACCCCTACTTTTTTGTATTGTCTTTTTACAATCTCCTGTTCGTCCATTTCAAATATTATACACTTCTTGATAAAAACCTGTTCGTTGCGACCACGCTTTACATACTTTTATAACCTGCACTCAGTTGACATAACCTTGCACTTACTTACACTTAATTGCACTATGACGTTATACTAGTGCCATGTTGTGCAGAGTAGGGAAGACCCAACGAACAAAGCTTTTGATAGAGAATAAATGTTTGTATAAGAAAAAATAGAGAAAAAATGCGTTCTCTGAAAATATTAAATCAATAAATTACAATCAAAGTAGGCACCGAAATAACGCCATTGACAGCTATAAATGTCAAACAATTGACAGTTCAAACAAATATGATGCAATTAAGAAACCAAATATTAATAATGTATGGGTACGGCGATAGAAAACGCACATAAACTGAAGTTTGTACACTGTTCAGTAATATTTACCCGGATACACAAATTACACAATCGACAGTATCCAAAATATTAAAAAAATTCTTTAACACCGGAAGTATTAAATAGCTTCCAAAAAATGGACGGCCGAAGTCAGTTACCAATGACGAAACTATATTAAATGTGTGTCATATCATTAATTATTCATAATTGTTGAAACTGTAATTTTTTTGACATTTAACGTTGTCAACGGCGTTATTTCGGCACCTACTTTGATTATAATTTGCTGATTTAATATTTTCAGAAAACGCGTTTTTCCTCGATTTTTTTTTTATACAACCATATGATTTGATATGTTCATCGCATAGAGGGATTTATTCTCTATCAAAGTGTGCAAAAAAAATATATGCATCTCATTTAAAATAACAATGTTGGTTGCCATAACAACGAAACAAAAAACAATACAAACAAGCAAATATCACCAAAAAATGCGCCACGATTAATAAAAAAACTTGCATTTGAAACATTTTTCTTTAAAACCGCAAATGGCAGAGTTATTGGCTATATTCCAGACATTTGACACACCCTGTATAACAAGCTAGTGCTATTTAGCATAATCTACAACTTTTACTAGATCTAGAACTAGAAACATTTGGGTTTAGCCTTGCGTCTCTTGCCAAATGTTTCTACTTCTAGCTCTAGTGTTAGTTCACTAGAAATATACAACAACCTGGCGGTGAATAACAAGTAAAACTAGAACCAAATATTTCTAGTTCTAGGTCTAGTGTTAGTTCTAGTTTTAGTTCAATAAAAATATACAGCATAGTGATATTTTATGCTAACTAGCGCTACCTACCACGTACCAGCCGTCTTAAGAGAGGTACAGCTAAACAGAATGTTTCTAGATCTAGATATAGTGTTAGTTCTAGTGCTAGTACTAGTCTACTTTTATTTGTAATTCAGCGCTAGATTATTGTATATTTTTATTGAGCTATAACGGAAACTGCCTTCCTCGTATTAATCAGTTATATCGAGATTTTAGAGTAATGTCAAATTATAGTGACATATTGCATCTTATGTGGGACAAAGTAAGTAGTTACGCCCTAATTTTTATGTTTAAACAAGTAAGTAATTAAATTCGTAACTACAGTTTACTTAAAATCCTCTCTGGTTTTAAAACTCCTGCAAAAAATAGCTTTGAAAAATTACACTGTGTAAACGTGACTTTTCATTTTACTCCTCCGAATTAAAAAATAGAGAGTAATAATTAATTTACTTCATTATGTATCGTAATTGTTCTTCATTAACATCTTCTCTCGCACAAAGAAACGAAAAAAGATCCGGTAAAATATTGGTTAATTGCGCTTGATGATTCAAAGCTAATTGTGTAAAAAACTTTTTTGCAGTCCCACTAAGACCTGAGTCTTCTTGTGTTATCGGTAGTGTCATAACATAAACTTTTTTGTTAACACGTAACATATTCCTTGTGAGTAAATTCGCCAAGATGAAATACGTCGTTTTTTGAACTCCCGGATCTGGATCAGATAACCTAAAAATTAATCATTAAATAAAAATTGGGGATTAATATTAATTTAATCACTTGTCGAAAATTTGCGCGGAGTATGGATCAATAATATTTGGAAATCTCGCCAATAAATCGGCTAAATTTATTATTATTAATCGTTTTAAATTTGCCGATTTCGTTGTTGATAGTATTTGGAAAATTAAAGTTGTGTATTGGCGACACATTACATTCGACATCATCATGTATCTAAAAATTGTATTTGTTATTTTTGTGGATCTAAATGGAAGCGAAATTTACCTCATTAAAACCATAACCGATCCACATTGAATCTGTTCGTTGGGAAATTTGGTTAAATTTTGACAAACTTCGAGGAAAAATGGTGTAAATGCGCCTAAGCTGTTTGCGTTGGTTACTATTTTATACTCCAATATGTTTAAAACAAATTGGGCGTCTCCATCATCTGCATCTGCTCCATCCAAAATACTGTCATCGCCCTAAAATAAATGTATTTGAAAATATACGAAATTTTCACAAAAATATTTGCATATCAAAATGTTCTAAAGAAAGACAAGATACAAATTATGCGCACGCATCTCAGGTTTTATTTTGAACATGTCAAGTTTTGCAAATCCATTCTTTGTATGAATGGAATTTAATTGTATGCTGTTTAACTTCCTGAATCATCTATGTGAAAAATTTCAGTCTAGATTGGATTACAGATTTATAAATGAGTGTAGAAATTATTAGATAAGATGCAATCCTAAATGGTGGCCGACTAGCCACCTGAGGTTTGCAAATAATTGTTCCTTTTAAATCTGGCACCTTTTATTGGAATCTATTGTACTAGCTTAATCTTCTGTTGTACAACATAAAACTTTTGTCAATTGTTACATGTTGTTAGGGTGTATATTCCACTTGAAACATATTCAGATGTAAATATACAGGCCAAATTTTGTTCAGTTTTAGTTGTGGATAAGTGCAGGATCATATGCGTCATTATTTGAAAAATGGAACAACGTTTTTCGAATAATTGTTTAAAGAGTACCTCCGGCTCGAGATAAAAACAGAACGCAGATACAGGCGACAAGTACTTGGACAAACACGTATACCATTCGTCATTTAGTGTTGTCTTTGATTTCGAGATTCATGTTTGTGTTATTTACACGCTGATTTTTGGTATTTACATGGACGTGTTTGCTAAATTTTTGTAAGAGAAGACCAAGTCCAGTTTTCTTGACTTTGAATTTCTAAGTTCTGTACCAATGTCTAGTCAACTGGACACTGGACACACCTGAATTTCTTCAAAGTCACTACTTTCTTTTTTCTAAATATCCTGTAATGTGCTATAAAAACCAAAATGAATACTATGGCTACCCCAAAATATTACAAAACATAATTATTGTGCACTGTGCCAGATTCTGAAGCATGGATCTACGCATAAACCAGGGTTTTCAGGACATATCGGGCACTTGTATCTGGATTTCTTGTAAACTCCACCTCTGCTACACTGGCGACACCTCTTCACCGCAGATTTGTTTTTCTATGTGGAGGCAACTGTTTCCAGATAATGGAATTCTGATTGTTGGTCTGTGGTTGGCTTAGTATATCCATCATTAACCTGTAGCATATCCTTTATAACTTCTTCTCTGAACTTCAATTTTGAGGTCAATTTTGATTTTTTGGTCCTTCTTATATAATATGTAATGCGCATTCCAATACTTCGAACCAGTTTCTGAAGAAGACGCACGGCAAAACCCGAAAGTTTTTAGTGTTAGTTCTAATTTTAGGTCAAAACGCATTCCACATTGCAATATCTATAAGATGAAAGAACACGTTTCTGTACCATCTTATGGGTTTCTTTGGCGATGAGTAGTATCCCATCATCTAGTCTGATCTGTCTATCTCTGACCAATCTCTTGTCCTTCTAGTGTGTAACTAATACTGCACCTTTTCTTTACCATATAGCTTTACGTTTCTTAATTTTTTCTTGAAATAATTGTTTCGGATTTCCCCTTCTAAATTTTCGCAAAGTTCCTACAAGTTTCGTCTTCCTTTTGAAGAAATATTTTGCTAGCCCGACACTAGTGCAATAATTATCAAGGTATATTTGATGTCGTTTATCCAAATAGTCTTTTAGTAGCTCGATTACGACTGAAAACGTGTGAGAATGCTCTTGATCATTGTCTATTATAGTGCCTTTTCCGGTATAGACAAGTATATTCAATACCACAAAATGTGGTAAGCTCATACACTTTTTGTCCATAATATACTGCCTAAATTTTAGGCGTCCTCGCCAGAGAATCATAGATTCGTCTATAGAAAGTTGTTTAACTGGAGCAACCAACTGCAATAGGTCGTATTTTATATACACGGTCGTTCGTATATCTACATCGCTATGATTTACAAAAATGGCAAAAATCTCAAATATCGCAAAACCTATTCCTAGACAAACATTTTCCGAAAACCGGATGAAAGTAAAAGAAATTTGTACTCCATTGCTTTGACAACTGAGGAAAGTGTATAGTTCCAGATAAAAGACAGAGTCCAATGAATTTAGTTATTTCAGGTGGCGTCACATCTTTTCATTTCCTAGACCTTTTTCTCGTATTTTCTGCAACCGGCACTGATGTTACACGATTATTTGTTTAAGTTGCTACTTTATTTATTATATCATCGTCAAAGAATAATCTGAAGTAGTCAATAGGTTTGGTATTATTGCACAAATTCGATATAAACGATGGTGCCCCCGTGAACGGAATATCTAAGGGATCAGTTTCTGTGTCAGTCCAATCCGACTCATTATCAGACTTAGATTGCAAAAAACACAAACTCTATTCAAAACGTGTTCTACCCATATTTCACACGTGGCTCATGTAGTTCACTAACGGTAAATGCAGGACATATATGGACTAATTTGACAAAGTACATTCCCCACAGCAACAGCCTACACTTTCAAGTACAGGCTACGATATTATAAGCATCATTTAAATGCATTAGCAAACGCGTCCAGTAAACTGAACGCGATTCACCACGAAAAACCTCTCCCTCTAGTAGACTAGACGCCGATAACAAACGTGTTAAACAGAAACTCACTAATCTTCTTAACCCCACAATCTCCAACTATCACTAATTTTCATGTTATCTCCTTTAATGCATAAATATGATTAACTGCTTTGAAATAGTTGGCAAGAAGGGCTGAGATACAAATTAAATAATATAGATTTACAAATCTGCCTACTAGCACAACAATAATGTAGTTTTTGTTCCTCTAGGAACTATTAACGCATTGACTTCAATTACAAACTGTGGTAAAGTTGTATTCTTTTCTTTCTCAAATTACTACCTCTTAATTAATGATTTTCACTAAATAAATATTCGTCGATTTCATTTTCAACAGCGACACAAAACAACTATATTTTTTAAATTAAATTTCGACCACTACATATACTTGTTATGACTTACATCTTCAGTGGCGGTTGATATGGCCCTTTTTCTTGCACTTAACATAGACGGAGTTTGAATTCTTTTTCTTCCCATTTTTCCAATGCTCGATCGTTGATTACTGCGACGTTTAATTTCAATATAAACTGTATCATCTAAATGGGCCATTTCGTAAACAGCAACTTTTCCCAATATAAGATTTAACCGATCTATGCAAAAAATAGGTACTTTTACTATACTACCAGGTTGTGACCAAACGTCCAATTTCATGATGGACATAATTAAATTTTGAACAATTTTCTCAGGTGTAGAACACAACTAAAAATAATAAAATTAAATTATTTAATAAACTCGTTTTATTTATTTACCTTGTATATCATTGGTATTGCCCCAGAAATAGCATCGCAATAAAATTTAACTGGTTTTGAAAAATTATCGACTAATATATTTGTAAGTTGCGTCCAAACTGTTTCGTTATAACTCAATCTATATGGTGGTTTATCGTCTTCAATGCGTTGTTCCGCTGAACCCGCAACCGTTAAAAAATGACAAGCCTCAGAAACTATAGCCATATCATTAAGACCACGATTTTCAAACACCACCTCGCAGACCATTTTCAAATTATTCATTACAATTGATTGACGACCTTGGGCGGCCAATGTTAACAGTTGCAATGCCGCCAATGATTTATCATCGTCGACGTCCTCTTTTTTTGTGAAATAATTGAATAACATGTCAAGAACATTATTATCCAGTTTTCCTTTTGCAGTCCATTCTGCAATCATCCTCTCGAAGGAATTACGATAAGCATATGTTACGATTCGTGTGAAACGAATTAAACGTTCTACTATTTCTTTTACATGTTCTCTTTAATAAAAAATAATATTAACATATTCAATGTAATTAAATAAACGCATACTTACTTCATATTATTTGTAAGAGTGGTAACTAAAAATACTTCTACTAAAGCATTAATTACGATAACTTTGCGATCATCAAATGGCATTTTCATTACTTCTAACAATTGGAGAATACGTTGTTCGCTTCCGTCCAATTTAAATTTATAGGCGGTTACAAAAAATTTTACTGCCTCTTGCATTTCCGTTATGTTTTGGCTTTCTAGTAAATCGCTCATTTTCGGCATGGCATCGTCTAATAATTTTGCGAATAAAACTGTACTCTCCCAATGTTTTACCGTCTCTTCAAGTCGATTCATCTTATCAATCGTTTCAACATCGACGATATTGTGAATTAGAAAGCAATTTTCGCGATAGAAACCTTTTAACACTTCTAATATGAATTCTTTTTCATCCATTTTTTTATCTCTTCCTCTGTTTTAATAAAAAAAACATAAAATTAAATACAGTAAATCCTCGATATAACGGAATTCGTTAGAACGGATATCAGATATAACAGACAAAATATTTTTAAGCCATACTATTGATGTTATCTATATCATACAACAGTATATTTAAATAGTAATATTAACACTCATAGATAGAATCCAACTCAGGTTATTCCCCAAGTTGCTCTATTCCATGTTCGTAGATAAACGCGGGGTTATTCTTCGTATTGTCTATACTAGCGAATCGCAATCATTGTGTCGCGAAGAGTTGAAAAATGGGTCGCATAAATATTCATCGAACACAAATGCCAATTTTTTTACTTGCAACAATAACAACGAAAATGTCAAAACGTTTTCTTTACTACTAAGTTGCTCTGAACATTTTGAAATACCCACTAGACTTGATCTTGTGTTTCTGGAATTGTCTTGTGTTAACCTCCTTAAAATACACTCGAAACATATAATCAGGTTAACTTTATATTTAATTCTAGTTTTGTTATATAATGAAAAAACTTAGATTTTGATCGTCAGATATTAGATATGCATACTTAATTTTAAAGTTTTCTCATTAGGTAACAGCCTATATTCTGAAAATGAGTAAGCAAAGTACACTATTTAATTATATTCCAATGAAGAATGTTCAACACACTGAGACAAAAACTTCCCCCAAGACAACTGAATCGTCTAAACCATTAAAAAAAAGAGGATACTTAATTACAGCTTTACGTCCATACAAGGAGATAATATTGATTTACCATAATGTGTTGTGTATGAAACTATTATCAGCAAACGCATCTTTAAAGTCTTATAAACTTTTAAGAAATTTAAATACTAATCATGTTGAATACAAGGATAAACCACCAGAATTCTTTGAAACCTTAAAGACTTGAAGGCGAATACATTTATATGTTGGAACAGATAAGAAATATTTGAAATGTTCTTATTTAATAATAGCATTGCATATTGCTAAGACCAAAGCGTGTAATATAGGAGAAGTACTAATAAAACCATGTTTCAAAGAAGTTTGTAGGGAAATGTTTGGTGAAGAATATGCTGTGCAAATTAACAATATTCCAATGTATGCTGAAACAATAAGCAGACGAGTACTTAGTATTTCAAATGACCTAGAATTACAACTAATTGAAAAATTGGAACATTCGCCATATTATGCCTCGCAGTTAGATGAATCCACAGATGTTTCAAGTAATGTTATATTGATAGCGTACGTAAGGTATATTGATTTAGAGTTGGAGGACATGAAAAAGAAATTATTATGCACTTTAAAACTACAATACACTACATCTGTAAGTTTTTGTTACCATAAATTCGTACTTTGAGTCTAAACAACGGATGGAAAAAACAGAGGTGTTGTTATACAAATTGGGCAACTATCGCATAAAAGTATAACAAAAACCTACTGCATTCTTCGTCGTGATCAGTTGGTATCCAAAAATATAAACAAAGAATTATACATAGTTTTAGATCATTGTGTGAAAATTGTAAATCATATTCGTAATAGTTTTACCGCAAAGTTTTATTACTACATTCACATAAACGCTGGCTTTCGAGAGGGAAGGTACTGAAAAATTTTTTTGACTTAATTGAAATAGACACTTCAAAAACAACGTATGGCTTGCAAAGGTTGCTTACCAAGCTGATATTTTTTCGTTAGTTAATGAATTAACATTATCAATGCAAGGACGCATGACTAACCTATTCACATACAACAATAAGGTTAAAGCTTTTATCAAAAAAACTGATATTTGGAAACGTTGAATAGATAGGAGAGAATTTAATATGTTCCCATGTTATCATCAAATAATTGAAGATAAGGAGCTGCATAAAGAAGACGATGCCGATATGAATGTTATTTTCCTCCTGATAATGACATCCGTATGGGCAACATGTGGATACAAAATCCGTTTTTAAAAGACGAAACATTTTGTGTTAGTCAAACAAGGAAAAACTAATGGAGCTGTCGTGTGATAAATTACGTCACGCGCAATTCATTAGTCAAAAAATTTTAATAAAATATTGGATACAAATACGAAGTGAATACCCAACATTATTTGAAAAAGCAATGAAATGTTTACTACCATTCACAACAACATATTGAGCGGAAAGTGGCTTTTCAGCTCTCGCTACTATTAAGAATAAGTACAGAAATCGTCTTGAAAGCATTGATGCCACAATAAGAATAGCATTAAATCAGTCGATTGAACCTAGGATAGATAAACTGGTGAATGCTAGGTCTAATTTTATTTGTTATTCAGCGCCAGGTTGTTGTATATTTTTAGTGAACTAGCACTAAACCTAGTATTAAAAACATTCGGGTTTAGCCATCTGAATAAGTTATCTGAACAGTTATCTATCCCTGCTGAATTGAGTCTGTAGCCTTTTGACGTCGTGCCTGTCGATGCCTAAATAGGGCAAAATTATAACATTTTGCCAATAAACATTGTTTAAGCCTTTTATTTATTTAGACCACAATTTCTAGTTCTAGGTCTAGTGTTAGTTCTAGTTTAACTTATTACTCAGCCCCAGGTTGTATATTTTTAGTGAACCAGACCTAGAACTAAAAACATTCGCGTTTAGCTAAACCCAAATGTTTCTAGTTCTAGGTTCAGTGTTAGTTTTAATGCTAGTGTTAGTTCTGGTTTTAGTTGTTATTCAGTGCTAGATTGTTGTATATAAAATTTTTCATATAACAGACATATTAATCAGTTATATTGAGGTTCTACCATATCATAATTATTTTTAATTTTACCTTTTAGTAACAAACTCTGGTACTTCCCGAATAAGTCGTTTACAAAGTTCAAAAGCATCTTTGTACTGTTTTCCTTCTATATACATTTTGATTAAACTTAAAAGTTGTTCAGAAGGAATCGCCTCTTTTGATTGATCATCTATTTCCATCTCCTCACCACTTTCATTACATTCATCATCATTTTCGCTTTCCTCATCCGATTCATTTTCATCATTTGATTCATTGGCAACGCCACTTTTATTTTTAGTTTTTTTCTTTTTTGGTGATTTTAATTCAGCTACAATTGCATTCCATTCGTCGTGGAAATCAGCGGCTTTTTCATTTAATAAATGCTCCTTTATATTTTCTTCCATCTTTCGGAATTCATCTAATTGATCTTGATATTCTTTTTGTATTGCTTTCAGTGATAACTAAAAATAAATTTAGTGAATTTAAATCTCAATTAAGTTTGATTTTTTATACTTCTGAAGCGTATGGGTTGTGTTCTAAAAATGATGTGACTGTATTGGCGGCGTTTTTTCTTGCAGCTGCTCCTTTATCGCAAATGTGAGCAACAATGGCACGTAATGCGTCGTTTAACTGTGTAGGATTAAGCAAATTTTCTTTTTGTACTTTAGCCCAGGTTTGGATTACTTTGGAACGGACTGTAACTGCTACATCGTTAATGTGAAGTTGTAGAACTTCTAGAATCAAATTTTTAAGGGCTTGATCGTTTTCATCCAATGCAGGTCTTGTACTCAATATGATTAATACTTCTGACATTACCACTAAAACCCCATTCCTCAATACATGGGACTAAAAAAAATTTTTAATAAATTAAATTAAAAATTATTCTGTACCTGACAGCTAAAGGGGTGTAAATCCACTTTTAACAAAAACGAATGAAATAAGAATGCTATAAAACCCAGTATTTCATTTTTAATAACATTATTTTAAAAAACCTTATTACAAGGAAAAATGTTTCGATTATAAAGAAATAAGTCCTTTCAAAACAAAAACAAACTAACACTAAATAAACAACTAAAAGTCCATGGGGTTGGACCTGTACTTATAAGTGCCGTCCGTTAATATCTGAAAATCAACGCCAGCAGATTCATGATTTTTGCAAAAAAATTCTTTCTTGAGAGTGCAAGAGAAAGTTGGTGGAAGATCAGAGTCTGTAAATTATTTTTTATAAACACTTTATCGATCGGCGAAAAATTTGTTTATAACGTTCTAAAAAAGAAGTCTACATGTAATATGTCAGTACCTGATCAAAAAGGTAGAAAAGTACTTATCAATAAAATTTCTGATGAAGTTATTGAAAAAATCACTAAGCACATTGACAGCTTATTCTCGAGAAAGGTCTGCTAAGAAGTATCTTGGAGATGGCTTAAATATTTAAAAAATGTATGGGTTATATAGCGAAGAACTTAGGAGAAAAGGTGAAGAACCAGCTAAGAAATGGCTTTTTAGAAAAATCTTCAACAAAATGTTTAATTTGTCGTTCCATTTACCAGACAACGACACATGTGATATGATATATATACTAGACTTGTACCACCTGTGGAAATCGTTAATTTTCCATCTTGTGATATTTGTGATCCTGGGAGATGAATTAAAAAATGATATCTATTATTTTGATCGATTATTTTAATGTAAAGCTTAAGGCTGATCTTAGTGCAGAAGAAAAGCCATTTCGAAAGAGCTTTACATTCAGATGATGCAAATCTAAGATCAAACCAAAGCTGGAAGAGGTGGTAATGAGATGGCTTCCTGTTTTTTTTAGTTTTGTTACTTATAGAAATCTCAAGGAATCAAAAAATGGAAACATTAACTGTAAATCTGTAAAAGTGCAATAAAGAAAACTAAACCATTTACAATTTTTACTTGCAATTATTGGATTAATTTTATTTGTAATTGTAAACAACCCCCATTTAATGTATTCTCTATGGGTCTAGATTTTAAAAATTTTACTACATCTTACTCATCATTAACAGCACCCATCATATGAAGAAAAAAAAATAATGAAGGAGAATAGTTTAAATTATCCAGCGTTGTTTGGCTCTAAAAATAAACCTAAAGTAAAACCTATAAGTAAAGCTAAATATGAAAATCTTTTAACCCTTCTTAAGTGGGTTCCTGAAAAATATCAGGATTACTTTAGGAATTTACCTTAAGCTAAAGAAGCCCCAGAATTTCCTAATTATGATTAATAAATTAATAGGTTTTAAAGTATCAAATTTGTTGTAAAAAAAAATTATAATAAGTTTGCTCTTTTAAGACCAAATAATCATTTAATTCGTTAGAGCCAAAATGTAGTAAGTCCAATAATTTTGTAAAAATAAAGATAAAAATATGCTATTAATGAATATTTACAGACCATTATTATTAAAAAATACCGATATTTCCCAGCTTTATTTGTGAGGCAAGAGCATGAGAATTATTAATTATTTCAATTTATTATTATTTGAAGTTAAAAATCAGATATTTTCGACTATTCTATGATTAAGTCATTTTGGACTTATGTCCCTTTAGCTCTCAGGTATAGAATTAATAACATTTATTTACTTCATGTCCTAGATAACTTTTTAGATATGCTACTTCTGGTGCCATTAATTGAGGTAGTAATTTAGACAATTCCACCAAAGTTCCTGTACAATGTTTTGTGGCCTACAAACAAAAATAATTATTGAAACATTTAGCAAAAATAAAATACTAATACTTCTGCATCTTCATATTTTTCATCAAAAAGGATTTCCATAATTTCCTGAACAAACTCTGGAATAAGTGCTTTGGCACTAAAATTTTCTACCAGTTGATTAATACCTTCCGCAATTGGTTTTATTAAATGTGAATTAACTTTCAATAATTGTACCAAACGAACTATTAAACTCTCATCATAGCTGTATGTTTTAATAAGAATACCAAAAATGTTAAAGATCTCATATCGCACTTCTTTGTTTGAGCTAATTGAACCACTTTCTAATGTAGGATAACACACTTCAGCTACTAAACTAAAAAAAATAATTAATTTAAAACATCTAATTTGAATTAAATGTTAAAATTTACTTTATTATTTGTTCCTCAACTACAGGGGGATCCCAAAATACATGAAGATCACATTGAAGTAACATGTTTATTGTAACCAAAGCATTTTTTGGGTTAAAACATTCATCTTCGTCAGATACCGACGATTTTTTTTTTCCACGCTAAAAAATTACATTAATTAACAAACAATTCCTAATAATTTAAAAAAAAAAAAACTTTTTTAATCCCAAGCAACATATTCTGAGAGGTATTCTTCGTATCCAAAGCCATGATAACATGACAAAATACATACAAGATCATTTTTATGATAACCTGATATTTTGTCTTAATTTCTGATGTTAAACTATCAGGATCGTCCAACAAAAACTTCAAATTATGTATTAATGCTGATAAGGCTACAAAAACGTTTAAAATTAATCCTTATTATTAATTTTTTTACCAAATACTTACCCGTTTCTAATTGATTGCTAACTATCATAAGTTTTTCGCTCTCCAAGACTGCTTTATGATAAATAACCGAATAATATGTATCGAAATGATCAAAAATAAATTGTACACCATCATCTTTAAAACTATTTTTCCCATCTATAACATAAAAATGTTAATACATACTTCGATGTAAATTAAGAAATCACTCACCACGCAATTTTGCGGGTAAATCGCAAACATCCACGATAGTTTTAACATAATAGTTTTCGCCATCGTCTCTTACTAAATCCTCAAACTTGTTTGGTATAACAAAGTTTGTAAAATCCATTTTTACCTTAATAAAGCAGAACCAAACATAAACAAATTCAAAAATTGACGGTTAGGTTAATTAAGTTAGGTTATGTCACTTTCTTTTCAAATTTTCAACCAACAATTACAGAAAACTGTAATTTCACTTCAAGAGGGTGTCTAATAATTAATAATGTCAAAACATAACCTAACTTAACCTCAATTTATACAAATTTACACTTTTCTATACATTTTATACAGGAATTATACAAAACCGCAATGAAATTTGTTTTAAAAGCGACTACAAAGAGTACTTCTCGGTTAGGATTACTAACCGAGTTCGCAAATAAACCCAATTTTTCAATAGAAACCCCTTTAGCAATGCTTTATACAAAAGTAAGTTAAATTTTTTTATTTAATTAATATCTGATCTAACTCGTTTGTAGGGAGGTAGCATTCCACATATAACTCACGAAATTTTTAAAATATGTTCAAAAACACCTCAAATACTTCAAATTCCAATCGCAAGCACTTATCAGTATCAAGAAATTCTTAGCGAGCAAAATGAAAATATTAGTCAATTTGTTGGTTTGAAAGATTGTGTTAGTTGTGTAACTGTTCAAGATCCTGGTGATTTAACTCAACCAGGTCATCATTATAAGGATCATGTTCCTGTATGGACCAGACATGGTAAAATCCTTGTAAATGCAGGCAAATATATGGATATAATAGAATCATTTCAACCTGATATGTATTATACATTATCGGACGGTGATACTAATGTTGGGAGTTTAAACAAACGCATTTCTAAAGCTGTCGATAATACATTAAATTTTTTTAATGAGTGTTTAGAGAGGCATCAAAAATCAGATATTTTAAAAGATACTTGTTTAATTGGTTCAATAAGTGGCGGATATTGTTTAAATTCTCGTCAAAAATGTATTGAAGGCATTTTGGATAAAGATGAGTATATAGGAGGATATTTAATAGATGGTTTGCATAATAATGGACCTGAAGTTGAATTTTTACCAATTGACGAAGTGGATAAAGTTGTTGATTTTGTTGTGGTATAAAAAATTTAGTAAATCAATTTATTGTATATTAATAAATTATTTTTTTTTAAGAAAAATCTTCCCAAAGAAAAATTTAAATCCATTCAAGGTTGTTGGAATCCAGTTAATGTAATAAAACTGGTTCAACTAGGAATAGACATTTTTGATACATCCTATAGCTACATTGTAACTGAACGTTCATCTGCTTTAGCTTTTGGAATGGACGAAACCGACGAAAATCAAATTTTCGAAATAAATCTTCGACACCCACAATATTCAAACGATTTTAGACCAATTGTACCAAGCTGTGATTGTTTAGCTTGTACAAAACATTCAAGGGGATATATTTATCATCTTATTACAGTGCAAGAATTATTAGGACCCCTTTTATTAACAATGTAATTTTTTTTAAATCATTTTTTATTTTGTGGAGAATAATTTTTTTTTCTTTTAGTCATAATACACATTATTATTTAAAATTCTTTGCGAAAATACGAAGTTGTATTCAGGATGGTACTTTAGAACAATTGGAAACGTTAATTAAAAGGCAATTTGATGAATACCAAGCAAAATTAAACAATGAAAAGAATAAAGTGGAGGTTTCTCGATGATGTTTAAGTTGTTATTTGGTTTAAATAAAATAAATTAATTGTTTTATTAAACAAAATAATCTTTAATTCCTGATAAAGATAAATAAGAAATATACAGGCGTATCTGAATGACTGCAACAAACTTCAAGGGGTGATTCTTTAGTGAATTTTAAGGGTACTTTAATATTATAAAGCATGGGCGACTTTGGCTCCCCTAAGGAGCTACACCCCTCCAAAAATGTCGAAAAATTTTGGTTTAATTTTTTTTTTCTCGAAAACTATAAACACCAGGAAAATGAAATCTGGGGAATAAGTTTAACTCATAATAGAGCACGTTTGTAGCTTATTTGTACTTTCAATATTCCCTTCTAAGTTACTAAACCTAACTACCCCCGTTCAATTTATGCCTAGATTTTTTTTATGAAGATGATAAATACATTGGAAAAATTTCAGTTAGATAGATAAAACTATTCTAAAACTTTTTTGTCTCTCTGATGTTCTTCGAAAAATTAATAATTTCTGCGAAAAAAATTAATTAAGCAAACAGTCATTGTTAAGCTGTAGGGTTGTTAATCGAAAGTTGGAATGAATTTATAATGAAAACATCTTAGTAGGCTTTGCAATTTTTTTTCATAAATATTTTTGACATTTAAATGTCAGTATTTTTCTTACTATTTATTATTATTTCTCAAATTAATTTTTGAATAAAGTTCTATCGCATTAACGCTTCTTCACTCAACGTTTCAAAATTTTAAATAAAACTAAATAAACTTGTTACAATAAGAAGTGTTAATTTTGGGAACATTGTTCCAAATGATTCTTGTAGTTTATGGGTTCTCTTTTATTATTATTGTTGCTCCTGGGCTGAACGCAGCAGCCCCTCTCGTCACCACCACCTATAAGATCTATTATAACTTAAGCCCTCCAAAAGTTTAAATGTAGGTCCTTTATAAACCTTAATATTGCTCCAAGATCTTGTTCTTTTATGTCGCTAGGTGTCAAAAGAGCTTTACCGAAAATGTTGTGTCTTAGGCGGCCTCTGGCGACGCATTCACACAGTATATGTTGAGCAGTCTCTGGCTTGTCGTTGCAAAGTCGACAAATTTGATTCTCAGCTTGTCTAATGTGGAAGAGGTGGTATTTTAGGGGCGCATGACTGGTCAGGAAACCTGAAAGCGACCCCCTTTGCTCCCCTTTGCTGAGGTATAAAACGTCTTTGGTTTTGTTTTGCAACGGAGTTATCATACTCTTCGCTTCTCTGTGACCTGGAAGTTCTTTCCAGCGTAAGGCTATCTTTGAGGCCTCACAACTGTTGGTTACTTGCTTTAGGCGTCTTCTTTGTAGTCCACAACCGGGTTGGGGTCCAATGAAGGGCGTTTTCGCTGCTTCTTTGGTCAGCTTGTCCGCCTTCTCAATGCCCTCAATGTCTCTGTGACCTAGCATCATTGCTCCTAGCGAGTTTTGTCAGATTCCTAGTACTCTCTCTGATCAGTGCGGAGTCACTCGTGTAGTCTTGAATTGCCGTTAGAGCGGCCCGACTGGTTGTAAAAATGTTTATGGATACACCTTTGTGTCTCTTTTGTTGGTTCAAAGCGATGCAGAAGTTTATCTGTACTTCTGCTTGAAAACTGGTTTTGTCCGAGCTGAGACACAATTTAATGCTGCTATTTGGACCACTTAGAGCGGGTTACAGTTGCGCTATTGCACTCTTGGAAGTTATTGATACTATTATCAGAGGAAGGGATATTGGCAGAGCCATGGTTCTTGTTCTGCTTGACTTTTCAAGGCATTCGATACAGTATACCATAGAACGCTTTTGGAAATTCTTTGGCATGCCGGTCTATCGCGCAATCGCTGTGCTTTTTTTGAACATTACTTAATGAATCGCAGACAGAGTGTTTCTTTTGATGGTGACTGGGCTGATGAGGCTGTTGTGTTGTCTGACGTTCCTCAGGGATCTGTCTTAGGTCCAATTCTCTACTTAATTTATACTAGTAATCTTTTTGGGTTATCGCATCACTGCGCTTTACACTCAGCTTAATTTTTCCATTGATCCTACTTAAGTGCATACTGTTCAGAATTATATTAATTATGATTTAGACAAATTAATTAACACATTTAATGAAAACTACGCTTGATGTCTGGACTAATAGCACGAGGGTTTTCTTCTTACCACTGGTGTAAATTATGAAAATTGACGATACCAACTCTTGTAAAGCCAGCTTCATGACTAAAGAGCAGACACGTCAGAAAGAGATGATCGGCGGCGCATGTCTTTAATAACCATACACAGTAAGCTTCTCGTGGTGGAAAGTCATTCATACTAAGTCCCTGTACTCTTTGCAAGTGGTACGAATAAAGCTGATTAGTTCTTAAAATCCGCCACACACTCACATGATCGACAACTTCCGCCAATGCAATTCTTCGAGTACTAGGACCTGCATTTTCTTCAACACACGTTCTTCCAAGTCCAAAGTTCTTGTAGTTCGTGGTCTGCCGCGATCTCGGACTACTGGTTTGAAGGATCCTGTTTCCCTTAATCTTATATGAAGTCTTTCGAACGCTTTTTCATTTGGTAAACGTCGGTTTGGGAAATGGTCTGCGTAAAGTCTTCTTGCTTCTATTCTGTTGCAATGTGCCAAACCATACATTATTACTCTTCGAAAGAAAAATCTGCCATTTTGAACTACACTGACTGCCTACCTAATATTGGTCTGCTTTAAGCTTTAAGTAACGAACCATTTTAAGACATATGTTTATATAAACTTTTTTGCTTATTTTTAGTTGCAGAAACCGTCTATGTATATCCAGCCCAACATTTTTGTAACACTCTGTATAGTCTTCTAACCATGACTCGCTGTTGATCAAGGTCCTTATTTCACTAATGCATACATATATATTTTATTTTCACTTTCTAGTTTAATACCTAATTGTATGAATTATTTGAAAACTCAAAGTTTTCACTATTATTGAATTATTTTTATACTTCAAAATTATAAAATGTAGGCAACCCACTTAACATTTTCAGTAACACAATGACAATTACTATATTAATGATTTCGCTCCTAGATGGCGACATTAGTTATCATTAAAAAGAAGTGCTACCACTACAGATTTCTGCGTTCTAAAAAGAATTCCTTAAAAATCGATCGTTGTAAAAGTAAAAATACTGCAAAATCAGCGGAAACACAATCAAGGTACGTTCAAAAATTTAATTTCTTATCATCTCCAAAAATTAACGGATTTAAATTTTGCAATATTTACGTTTTAATATTTGAGGTTATGTTATAAGTGGGGGTACTCACACCTAATTCGAGTTCTTACGTCAAATTGTCAGTTTTTTCCCGTTTATCGTCAAGTCGAGTGCTATATTTCAATAATTAACCATAAAAAAATGTTAAAATGGGATTCAACGAACTTTGTAAACTAAGTGTATAAATAAGAACGAGGTTTTTTTGGAGGTGCAAAAATGAAGCAAAAACATTTAGAACAGGATAATGTCCAGGGCGCCCTTTTCAAACGTGTCTCATCGGCGTTCTTCTACGGACTCACTTCGTTTATGATAACTGTCATCAACAAGACGGTTTTAACTTATTTTAATTTCCCATCGTTTCAAATTTTGGGTCTTGGTCAAATGTTGGCAACCGTTATTGTATTATACATTGGGAAAAAGTTAAAAATCGTTCAATTTCCCGATTTGGAACTTGGCACATTTTGGAAAATCTGGCCGTTACCATTAATTTACATTGGAAATATGATCTTTGGATTAGGTGGAACGAAAGAATTGAGTTTGCCGATGTTTACCGCTTTAAGAAGATTTTCTATTTTATTGACGATGATTGCAGAGTTTTATATTTTGGGTATAAAACCGACGTTTAGTGTACAATTTAGTGTTTATACAATGATTTTCGGTGCTTTAGTTGCGGCCAGTAATGATTTAGCTTTTAATTTGCATGGTTACATTTTCGTTTTATTAAATAATGTATTTACAGCTGCAAACGGAGTTTATATGAAAAAGAAATTAGATGCTAAAGATTTAGGAAAATCTGGTTTGTTATATTATAATTCACTTTTTATGTTATTTCCTGGTATTATTTTCGCTTACACTTCAGGTGATTTACATTCAGGGTATTATTATGAAAAATGGTTAGATGTAGGATTTTTATCTTGCTTTATTCTAAGTTGTTTTATGGGCTTTATATTATCTTATAGTGTAGTTTTATGTACATATTATAATTCGGCTCTTACAACAACCATTATTGGTTGTCTAAAAAATATTTGTGTAACTTATGTGGGAATGATCGCTTGGGGTGACTACATGTTTTCTTGGATGAACTTCCATGGATTAAATATCAGCGTTTTGGGAAGTTTAATTTATACTTATGTTACTTTTAGACGAAAAGAAACTGTTCCTTATAAACCGTTAAATGATAATCCAAGGATGGATGTTGTTTAAACGAATTAATTTTTTTGTTTTATGTGCCATAAAATATTGGTATTAACTTTAAATTGAAAATCTCACAATGATTTCAATGCTTATTGATTGTTTCAATTGTATAATGATAAAGAATGTAAATAATTTAATCTCAAAAATAAATTGTAGATAAACTATTTGAGTTGAATAATATTTGAGTCTTTTTTATGTATTAGAAAAGGTGTAGTATCCTTTTAACGTCCTTTGTATGGGTGTTCTTGAATTAAAAATCTTGAAATATCATTTCCCATTTAGAACTATAAATACCAATTAAATTTTTTTTTTAATTAATTTAGTATATATTTATGAATGTTGTTTATTTATGCATGTTATTTATTATATATTTACCTATTTTGGAAAGAAAAATAAAATTTAGTAAAACAAGCTTGGTTAACCTCAAATTTAAAATTGAAATCTGTCAATTTAAAATCAACATAACCTCAAATTATGAATCGTTTGCTTTTAATACTTTTACTACTAAAAAATCGCAAAGATTAGCGATTATTATTATTCAATTTAGTAATGGTGAAAAATATGGGTTAATAAGTAAGTTTTTTTTTTAATCTTACCTAAAATCGCAAATTTTCTCTTCACTAAAATTATAAAAAATTTTGTGACATTGACATTTTGAACATTTTTGTTTCAGAATTACCAACCTAAAATAGTAACAAACTGTCGATACTAATTTTTTTTAATTTATTTTTTTTAATATTTAATTAATTAAAATACAAATGAATCATGTAATGTAATGAAGCATTACCTTAAAGATCTATTGTACCCTGATAGATAACATTATCAAATTTCACCGTGCAGTCCAATTCTCTTAACGAACTTTAATGTCTTGCTCAGTGAAAAGTCATTCAGATCCCTTGGGGAGATAAACTGCGACACAAAAATCGAGAATCTGATACGACTAACAGCAAGGCAGTGGCATGAAACATGCTCAACCGTCTCTTGATCCTCCGCATATAGTCAGCATTCAACATCGTCAGGTAGGCCCAACAAGTTGAGGTGTGTCTTTAATAGGCAGTGCCCAGTAAAGACACCCATTAGAACTGTAATGCTGCTACGAGCAAGTCCTAAAATATTCCCGCTTTTGACAGTGGCGATGTTGATAAACAACTTAGCGTGTCTCATTCCAGGAGAACTGGTCCACAGTAGGCGAAGTCTCTCTTCAGCCCACAGTCCAATCCTATGCTTATACCATCTGATGACTGTGGCCCCATAAACGCTTTAGCGGTGCTATGTCGTGCTAGCTCATCTGCTGCTTCATTGCCAGCAACCCTAAAGTGACCTGGGACACAAAACAGAGAAACTCTGTTACCACAACTCAGTGTGTTTAAAGTTCTTTTACAGTCATTAATCAGAGCGGATACCGGACGGAATAACTGTCTAAGAAATCGTACTGTCATGTTCTTCACCCCTCTCTCAAGAAGGATTTTAGCACCCATGTCAATAGAAAATACTTCCGCCTGGAATACAGCAGTACAGTACTTACCCAGGCTGTAAGCTTGCTTAATCCGAAGTGTCTAGTACTATACCCCTGCCCCGATCTCTTCTGGCGTTTTTGATCCATCTGTGAACATGCAAATATTAGGGGTAAGACTCCAGTTTTTCCACAAAACTAAGACAAGTCCACAAGGATATCTAGCTTTGTGTAAAACTCCCTGCAAATGTCCATTCCATGAGAGGGTTTTGTCTAGAATTATCCCTAGATATTTGACATCCTTTAAGAAAGGAATTTCTTCACCTTGGATAGTTCTTCGTGAAGGGCATAACGATTGTCTTTTGCGGGTTTATCGAGAGATTCTCTTCTTTACACCAAGCGCAAATGGTGTCTAGGGTCGCCTGGAGGACTTTGGACATCCTCGACAAACAGGTTCCTTTGACCATAGCGACAATGTCATCGCTTGTATTTACACCAACGGCTTCGACTATCGCAATCAGGTCAGCAGAAAGGGACCAAACTAGAAACTATTCTGCTATCAATGATATTGCGGATCCAACCTGCTATAGTTGATTTAACTCCCCTGTCAAGAGCAGCTCTTTCAAGAGATTTTGAATTGCGTTGTTGAGTTCACCTTCTATATTCAGAAATGCACAAACCTAGATGTCTTTATCTTGGAGCGTCCTGGATACTCTACCAACCAAGTTGTGTAGACCCAATTCTGTTAAGACTTTCCCGCTTAATAACCGTACTGGTGGAGATTTAATGGACGTACAGATACCGTTCCAGAACTTTTTCAAGGGTTTTCAACAAAAATGACGTTAAACTAATGGGTCGAAAGATGTTAGAAGTAGGGATCGAACGGCCATTTCTTAAGCATACTGAAACTGCAAATTTATTATTACGAGGTATAATCAATTAAAGACTGTCATAACTTCAAACCTTACTTAAACTAAATTAGTTTTTATTTATTTATTCAATCTATATAATATTTATTAATCAACAAATTATAAAGTTAAAATGATTTTATTCAATTCGACTTTATATTAAATAAAAATAAATAAAAGGTTGAATGCGAGGATAATGTTTCTTTAAATACTACCTTCAAGGTTAAATTATACAATGATAAATGATAAATAAAGTAGGTTTTAATAAACGAAGTCTTGTTTGTTATGTTATGGAAATAACATCATAAATGTAAAAATAAAGCTTGAATAATTTTTTGATGTTTTTAGGTTAGTTGTGATTCTTTTTTCAGTTCAACTTTCGTTCACATCATGCACCAGATACAGGGATTTTATCTTCCTCTTTATCACTCCATCTATCATCATAAGATGATAAATTTTATATTTCAACAGAACTGACAAAATTCATTCTTGTATGTATTTTCTTTCAAGCGCTCTTTGGACATGACGTGTTGTTGCTTCATTAGATTTAAGATGAGTTCCAAAATAATCCTAGTTGTATGAAATCCTGCTGTTGCGTTTTTGGTATTGAATGCTCTACCGAATCAACTTTATTAAAATTGGCATGATTGCCAGAGTTTATAATAATAATACTTTATTGCCTAATTAATTCATACAGGAAATATACGGCTCGTTACATTCTATACATATAATAGGTACAATAATATAATTCAGTACAATTTAGCGTCTAAATATTCTTCCGCTGAAAAAACTTAACTTAACATTTTCTCCTAAAATCGTTAGTTTGACCATAAAAAAAAATAATACTCAGAATCGCATCATACGAAACTATTGGGAATACATACACCAGGACTATTTGAAAGAATATGAAATTCAATAAGACGAAGGGTAGAATCTCTGCTGAGAGGCGGCATTTTCAACATTTATTATGACTTATTATTGATATTATGTTAACGTTGTTATTATTTGTTTATGTAGTTTTGTTATTAGTACTTATTATTGTGGTATTTCTTAATTAGCATATCTTTTCAACTAAATAGTACAGAACATTTTCAGTCCATACGTAGAATATTGTGGTATTTCTTAATTAGCATATCTTTTCAACTAAATCGTACAGAATATTTTCAGTCCATACGTAGAAAACTCTCTAGAAATTTGAGAACATTTTTTGTGATCAAATTAAGAATTTTAGGAGAAAATGTTAAGAGACAAAAAGTTGCAGATCCCAGAAGTTGAATCCCACTATTTAAATCAAGTTTTTAAATGAAAAAATGTAGACGCATTAACCTTTAGGGGGCCGGGATTTTAGGTAACATATTGTCTGAAGAAAATCGATACAAAATGTACTTCATATGATATATTTATCATATACAAAGACTGATAACATAGACCACCACTTAAGTGGTGGTCCCGGTGCTCTAAAGGTTAAAAAGTTCTGATGCAAAGTATTATAGGGATTAGATCAATTCAATAGTTATCTATTATTCAGTTATTTATTAACTAAAAGCAATTTTTCCCCTAACCATAAAGGGCTGTATCTTAGAGGAGAAAGGGTTTTGAACAAAAAGTTATATGAAAGACACCTGAATTTTTGCTGAAAAATCACCACTTGAAATCTTCTCTCGCTCTACAGCATTCCTTGGAATTTAATTTCTAAAGAGCTCTTATTGCTTCTTTTTGCTTTATAAATATTTTTCGTGCATAAGGAGATGCACCCCACAGAAGAATTCCGTATGTTGCATCACTGTGAAACAGTGAAAAATAAGCTTGGTGAGTCGCTTCATACCTTGTTGTTCTATTTAATACCCTGATAGTGTAGATTATTGAACTTAATTTACCTGACATATACTGGACATGGGTTTGAAAGGTAAGGCTATTGTCTAATTAGAATTTCCAGAAATTTTACGGTTGCTCTTTCCTCTTCAAGTATCGTACAAAACCTCATAATCTGCGTTTTCTCTCTATTTAGCATGACTTTATTGCTATTAAACCAAATTTCTGCGTCTTGCATTAAAAGTACAGTTTTTCTTTGTAGACCTTCTTCTGTAATATTGTAATTTAAAAATGATGTGTCATCAGCATATTGTAGTGTAATTGCTACCTGTACGTTTATTGGTAAATCGTTGGAGTATATAATGTAAAGCAAAGGACCAAGCACTGAATCCTGCGAAACACCCACGTAGCCCACGCTTTCACCAGATCTTTCATTGTTCAACTCAGCAAATCTGTTAGATAGGATTCCATTATTTTATTATCAACGCCTCTTATTCCATAGTTGCTCAACTTTCCCTACAGTATCTTGTGGTCAACTGTATCGAACGCGTTACTGAGGTCACTGCTTCTATCTTCAAGTCTTTATCAAAAGCCGGAAATTTCATATAACTGGCAATATATGATTGCAGTAACCATAGTTATGAAACTACTATGCACTTGCACTGTTCCACATAAAATGCAACATAGCTTAATAGTACAGGAATTGGGTAGTTCTGCATTTGGGTTAGTGTAAAACTATAACTAACATTAGACCAAAAACTAGAAACATTCAGATTTAGCCGTACGTCTCTTAAGACGGTTAAACACCTTTCTCTATCTGCTTCATCCTTCTCACAAAATGGGCGTGCCTCATTGTTTTTGCATTTCTTTTGGTCAACTTCTCGTTACACTTAATCTTTATCTCTATCACATTCGTTTACATATTTACTTAATAAAAAAATTATCAAATAAAGTGTAAATTTGCACCCACAATCACAAAAAAAAACCAATTTAAATAAATATTGTGTGCACCTCAACCGCAAGCGGCTTGGTTTATAACTATCGACACTTAGATTATCGACGTTTAGATCCTTCTTCTTCTTCTCTTGATCCTTTTGCCTGATTGCGTCGGATAAATCTTTTTCCTATTCCTCCAACCACCTCTTCCACTTCTTCCGGTTCCTGGCTAATTCCCTTATATCTGCTAGCGTCTTCCCTGACAAGTCAATTCTTTATATTTAGATCCTGCATCTTTAAATTAGCAAAATTGTGATAAAGAAAACTTCATATCAGTTTAACGTAAATATGGTTTATCCTTTCTTTTGTAATCAAATGTTCTATTTTAAACGACAAGATAACAAAGTTAATAAGCATCCTGTATTTTAAACGTACACTTCTGAGTTAAATTATTATTATAACTCAAAATGTTTGTTTTAAAGAGATAACAAAACAAATTAACGCTACAATAGGATTAAAAACGTTTTTTTCGTTCACAAAATTTTACAACTCGATAAATAATATTAAATCAATTTATTTAAGTAGAAAATGAGGAATTACAAGCTTTTGTAATAACTCAATTTTTTTACAAAACAAACATGTTTTATAGTCGATAAAAATCTTTGTTAAATTCCATAGATTTAACAAATTAAATTTTTTATGATTCTTTATTTAAAAAATTTTTACAATGAATGCAATCATAAATCCAATCGGATAAAGCTAAAACGTGCAAAATATGATGCAATGCTTTATCAACGTTTTATACTACATAATAAAGGTGTTACAAAATGACGCATTATAAAATTAATTTATATGATTCATTCATAATTTTAATAGATGCAGAAAACTACTCAAAATATTCTCCAAAGATTTTCTTTTAAACGATTATTATCAACACAAATAAGCCCGCAAGTTTTAAATGATTTCGAAGAAGATTTTAATAAACACCATATTCCAACGAGTACGTTTCAAAAGCTTGCGTTAGGAATAGGCTCGGCTGCTGTATGTATAATGAATCCGCGAAGACCGGAAATGATTGCATGTATGGGAGAATCAACAGGCAAGAATTAATAATTATTATAGCTGTTCAATTAAAATTATTGCAATTTAGGTTATATGGCGATGAAATACATGCTCGACGAGATGGAAAAATCAACGGAAGGATCGGAAATTTTAAGAAATCGACCGAGAATCAATTCAAAAACTGTCGATTTAGATAAATTAAAAGGATACCCAGAGGGAACGCTGGGTCGTGTTTACGTCGATTTTTTAAAAAAGAACGTAAACATTTAGATTTGTAGTTATTTTTTGCTGACCTTTGGAATTTAATTAAATTCGTAATTTTAGAACGTAACGCCGGATAGTCGCGGTCCCGTTCAATTTGTAGAAGATATTAATTTGGCTTACGTCATGCAAAGATATAGGGAGGTTCATGACTTGGTTCATACTATTCTAGAAATGCCCACTAACATGATAGGTAAAATTCAATAACTAATCAAAAATAAACATTTTATTTTAATGTAATAATAACATTTATTGTAGGTGAAATAACAGTGAAATGGGTCGAAGGAATCCAAACTAAATTACCTATGTGTGTAACTGGAGCCGTTTTTGGTCCATTGAGGCTAAAACCAAAGTGAGTGATATAATTAAAAAAAATTTTTAGTATTAAAGATATTTTAAGGAACCGGGAAACTTATAAAAAGTATTACTTACCTTGGGCGATTCGAACTGGAAACGAAGCCAATTTATTATTTAACGTTTATTACGAAAAAAGATGGGATCAACCGCTTTATGAACTTCATAAAGAACTCAACATAAACCCTTTAATTATTAAAACGGAAAATTAATTCAAAAATTAATATAGCTGATTTAGTCAATGTAATCATTTTAATCGTTAAATCTTCTTATTGGCCGTGGTTGCCATCGTTGAAGATAAGGAGTTGCTAAAAAAATAAATTATTAATTATTTAAATAGTTTTATAAGTTTGTTATAACTAGATTCAATTGGATAATTATAAGTACAGTGAAATTCCCTAAACTCGAACTTCTATATCTCGACTTATTCTCTAAGCAAGGACGATTGCACAGCTTCAGGACCCATTCGTGACGTCACGCATGAGTAGGTAACTACTATTTCACATTTTGAATTAGCAAATGCTAATTTTTGCTAAACTTAGACTAGAACTAGAAGTATTCGTGTTTAGCCGTGCGTCTTTTAAGTCTCTCTAGTTTTTGTTTACTTGAGATATTAGAATTGTTATTATTGCCTGTCAACAACAGCTACTCAACAAAAGATTGACTTGTATCGAATAAATTTACTTTAGCAGTAAATTTATTATTAATATATTTACGAAAAAAAGTCTAAGAGCATACAGCAATCACAAAGAACACAACAACAGCTGACTGAGCGTAGTGTGAAACGTTGTGTGATGTATTGGCCCGATACTGACGTCATTTTCTGGATTACAAAATCTAGCTCTTAGCCAATGAGAGCGCTTAAAACTGCTGTAATCATGGCGACTATCCACTTGATAGTTTATCAGGAGGATGGTAAAAATAGACCTAATTTAAATAATTTAATAATATTGTGTTTTCATCTCTCTATGTCGAATTTCTCTTTAACTCGAATTGATCTATGGCATTTCTTCAACTTTAGCTTGTATAAGTCGAATTTCCGAAAGAATAAAATATTCGTATCTGTTTTGTAAAGCAATTTTCTTTTATTCCAATGATTTTGTGATTCGATTTAATCCGGTAAAGTCCCTATGTATTTCCTGTTCTCTGAATTCACTTGATTACAAATACGGGAAGTAAAAACCTAGTAATAAGCGAAAATTAATGTTATTAATTATATTCGAATTCCATTATACCAGTTGTTATTTATGGAAAAAAAAAACTTTATACTTACACTTTATTAGTGTAAGTATAATAATATTAGACAGAGAACTTTCAACATCTTTTTAATATGTAACTGATTTTGTTTTATTTAAGTTAAATTTTTACTTATAAGTTTATACCTGCGTAATAATCGTCAAATATTAATGATTGGTATTTTAATCTTTTCATAACATTTGAGATAGTTTCTGATAATGGCCGAGTGCCGAAACTAGTCAGATTAAAAAATAACAATTAGACAACAACAGAATAAAAACAGACTACTTAAAGTATATAATAGTTTACAATGTTATTTGTTTTTCAAAAATTAAGATACTTAACAATTACTGTTACTTACTAAGGTCCATTACTACCATCTTTTAGTTAAATTTATCTTATAGATAAACCCATCTACTAGCCTTAGGCTCGTTACTACCATCTTCTGGTTAAGCTGTCTAAGGGATAATTACCACGGTTACGGCTATTTTACGCGCTCTGATTGGCTAGTAGATGGGTTTATAAGATAAATTTAACTAAAAGATGGTAGTAATGGACCTAAATTACAAAATGAATTAGGTATTTCTCAAAATTTTTACAAAAACTTGGTGACTTTGATGTAGACAATAAATAAAAAATTAAACAATTTTGCACTTAAAGGTGAAATGTGTCTATTATTACTCTAGTGGATTAATTTAATAAAGTGTCACATAACATGTTTAGATTTTCAAAAACTGAAATGACGAACTCCTGAGGATGCTCCGAAAGTAGCGAAACCGGTAGAGTAATAATAAACACATTTCACCTTTAAGTGCAAAATTTGTTTAATTGAAATACCCAGGTGAAAAGAAAATAAAAATGAATATTAATAAATAAAAAAGACTTAAAACTTGTGTTTATGACGATATCGAGGAAGTTATGCTAAATGAGTTACTACCGCGCATAATAAAAATCGCCCAATTTCAGGTTCACTATTTATGGAAAAAGCAAAATAATTTGCTATTCTATGGGTCGTGAAGCCTTTTTAGCTAGTGTAGCGTGGTTGAATAAGTTTAGACAAAGACACAACATTGTTTATAAGTCAGTATGCGTTGAAAGAACGTCTGTAGATTCAGAATGCTGTTCGAGATTCCGAAATTTTGTAGTTCTAGGTATAGTGTTTAGTTCTAGTTTTAGTTGTTATTCAGCGTTATTATTATTGCTGGGATGAGGGGAGCGGCTCCTCTCGTCACTACGACCTATAAGATCAATTGTAACTTAAGCCTTCCAAAGGTATAGGGCATTTTATTGTTTTTTAATATTTACAATTTTCCCTGCTTGTGGGCTATATTTCCTTATCTCTCCGTTCTCTCCACATTTCACCTCTTTCCGCTCTTCTGTTTTCGATCCCAGTCAGTGAGTATCCCACTCTTCTATAATATTCTTCCCTGTCTCTTTGCTTCCTCCCCTTAATTTCCCTCCAACACTCTCCCAGAATCCCGCAATGTGTCTTGCTTCTATCATTTTCTCATACTACACTGCTCTTCTCCCCGCCTCAACCCTTACTGCCTCCACTTTAACCTCCTACCTCACTACATACCCTGGGGTCTCCCTTGCCTACCCCAGTACCCATCTCCAATATCGTGTTTGTATATCCTCCAGCAAACCTTGTTCTCTCCATCCCCATACTTCTGCACCATACATCATTGTGCTCCTTACCAAGCCATCAAACATAACCTTTCTTTTTCCCACGTCCCTCCCAAAAGTTCTTTCTCCTCATCCCCAAACTTGTCCCATCACCCTGTTCGCTCTTTTTGCCATCGCCTTCACGTGCGCCCGATCTTATTACTTTCCGGGAAACCATATCCCAGGTACGTGTACTCTTTCACTTGCTCTATCTCTCTTCCCTGCCACCTCCATTCCTCCTTCTTTCTTCTTCCCCCACTGCAGAACATCATTATCTTTGTTTTCTCGACGTTTACCTCAAACCCTTTCACTTTAAAATATCTTTCCAGGGACCTCATCATCTCCTTCATCTCCACCGCCTCTCTAGCTACGACAACCAAATCGTCCGCGTACGTCAAGGTGTGCACCTTTGTTCCTCCTATCACCACCCCACCCATTTGCTCCTTCGCAAGTCTCTTTTCCAAGTCCGCCGTATATATTGCGAATAGTGTGGGACTAAGCTGGCACCCCTGTCTCAATTTGTCGTCCAGAATACTTCATTTAACTCTTCCCCCACTTTAACCTTGGCCATCGTCTCCCTGTACATCTCCTTCACCCTGCCTATCAGTTGTTCTGTTATACGACTCTTCCTCATTTCCTCCCACAACTTCTCTCTATCCACATTATTGAATGCAGCCTTCAGGTCAATAAACAATCCATACAGCTTTCCCCCCTTCTTGTTCAACTCCCTATCTACCAGGTGTTTCAAAATGTATATATTGTCAATTGCCCCTCTTCCCTTCCTGAATCCTGCCTGCCCATACGGTAACAATTCTCCCCTCTCAATTACCTCTTCCAACCTCCCCAGCAGTATCTTTGCATACATTTTGAAAGTTGTGTCCAACAGGGTGATCCCATGATGAACCTTAGTATTGTTCCTTTATGTCGGAAGGTGTCAGGCGACTTTACCGAAAATTTTTTGTCGTAGCCGGCCTCTGGTGACGCATTCACATAGTATAATATGTTCAGCAGTCTCTGACTCGTCGTTGCAAAGTCGACAAGTTTGATGCTTAGCTTGTCTAATATGGAAAGGTGGTATTTTAAGAGAGCATTGCCGGTCAAGAAGTCTGAGAGCGACCTTAGATCCCCTTTACTGAGGTATAAAACCGGTTTTGTTTTGCGACGAAATAACCATACTCTTCGCCTGTTTGTGACTTACAAGTTCAAAGGCTACCTTTGAAGCCTCCCTTGAACTATTGATTGCCAGTTTTAAGTAGCTTTTTTGTAGTCCACAGCCGGGTTGGAGTTCAATAAAGGGAGTTCTCGCTGCCTCTTTGGCCAGCTTGTCCGCCTTTTCATTGCCTTCAATGTCTTTGTGACCTGGAACCCACAATAGAGTAACATCAATGCCCCTAGCGAATTCTCTCAGGTTGCTGGTACACTCTCTGATCAGTGCGGAGTCAGTCCATGAAAATATTTATCGATGCGAAGTTTATGGCGAAAACTTCTGCATGAAAAATGGTTATGTTCGAGCTGAGGGGCAATTTAATGCGGCTATTTGGTTCACTAATGCCGATACCTACTCCGAATCCAACTGTCTTTGAAACATCGGTGTACCAGGCAACTCTTTTAAGTTAAGGCTCACCCTTCGTCCAATCATCTCTGTTTCTATTCATCGTTATATTGTTGTATATTTTTATTGAACTAAATATGGAAATAACACTAAACCTAGAAAGTAAATAATAAAATTCGATAACAAATTTTAAGTCTAATAACTTCTTTTGGCCAACAATCGTTTCTATTGGTATTTGCGAACTCACAATCCGCCACATGTGACTATTCAAAAAAATACATTTCTAATTTTTTTCTCGAAGTTTCCGCTCCCTTAGCGATTCGAGTTAAGGCAAATTTCATCGTACTTATAAATCATGATATTAGTACTTATATATCATATTAAATCATGATATTAGTTTTTTTTTCTTACATGATCCATTATCATCCCAAAATTGAAAATCGTTATCTTCACTTCTATGTGTTGATCCCGTATTTAATCCCAATTGAGTTAATGACGGTGTCGACGGCGTATCAACACGCGGACTATTTGTAGTCTTAAAAGTTGTTATTTGCCTTTTGCAAGAATACAATTCCATTTGAAGTTTTTTAAGCAATCGATTATTTTGCATCAATTGATCTTTGTATTTTTGCACTTCGGCCGATTTCTCATCTAATTCTTTTTTCATATCTTCGTAAACAGAACAAAAAATTAATAAATCAAATTAATTCATAATAAACGTAATAATTTTTTACCGTTACTAAGTCTGTGCATTTTGTCTAAATCCGCTTTAAAGTTGGCTTTAATATTTTCCATTTCAATTTTAGACTGTTTTAATAAATCGTCCTTCAAACGACATTCATTACTCAATTGGTACGTGTAAAACGAAATCGATCTTCCGGTTATATCGAGTATTTGTTCAGGATTTAAACCGGTTATAATCATCTATTAATGTCATAAAAGAAAAATTGTTAAAAAAGAACATGGAAAAAAAGTCGATAAATACCGCTTTGTATTGATCTGTAGGTTGCATATCGGTCATATTGTAATCGTATGAATTATTAAACACCGTCGAACAAGCTAAACATTTTCCAGCTTTTACACTTATTTGAGCGTGTTGTTGGCAGAAAATATGGGAACATGAAGTTACCAAACCTTTTTTTTCCAATAATACTCGACATGATTGTAAATTACAACGCATTGGGATTTCAGCCATTTTTATTTGCAGATTTAACCTATAGAAGAAATTGTTAAAATATATATTTATATCAAATACTGTATATTTATTAGTTGATTAAACGAAAGGAAGTAAATACTCTCATAAATATAAGGACTAACTGGCCAGGAACCTTAACCCTTTGCTTTGTATAATAATTTTTACGGCCGAGATACATTATAGCCGGAAACTCTTGCGGACGAGGCGTTGCAATGAGACTATGAAACATAAAATGCGATTAAAACACTGATTGAATAACTAATACTTAATGTATTCTGGATGTAAGGAGTGTAGAAAGTTTCAATTGCAACGCGTCGGCTGCAATTTGTCTAATCATACATTTTCATTCTGAAAAAACGGAAATGTTAAGAGATTAAAAGTAAATTAACAACAATCCTAATTAATTTTCTAATAAATCCATAATCACTGAGGTGTATGCTAAATCTGCAAGCGAAATTATAATTAAAAGTATATAGAATTAAATAAAATAGATAAAAAAAAATAAATAAACTTAGTCAAAAAATAATAAAAGTCAATATAAAATGATTTAAAAACTAAAACGGCGGAAAATAATGATATAAAGTGAACGACACTGAGTAATCACATAAAAATAAAACAAGTTTCACCGATATGTTAAAAACTAGAACTTTAAGTATGAGTATAGAGGTTTATAAATGGAGCAAAGCTGAAGGTTCATTAATTTTTGATTTTTATGTTTGTGTTTGTCTATCTCAAGTTGTTCTAATAAGTCTAGTTTTTTACCCTTCTTACAGTTGCATATGAGAGATACGTTATTATAATCGATGTTATGATTAAATTCCATTTGTGTTGGTAAACATTTGATGAGGAAGTATTTTTATGTTCCTTAATTCTTTTTGCGAGTTATCTACCTGTTTGACCGATGTATAAAGCATCCCATTCTTTACATTTAATAGAATATACACCATTTTTATTTAACATAAATATCTTCTTTGCTTTTGAAGTTGACAATATATCTATAAGTTTGTAGTTATTTTTAAAACCAATATTGATATTATTTTGTTATTATTTTTTGCTCGTAGATTTAGCTGATGATGATAAGTATTTGGCGAAACCGGTCCTAAGTATATTTATTAAAAAACTGAGAAAGAGTTCTTTTAAATTTTTACCATATTTTAAATCCTAATTAATCCTAAAAAATCTTAACTTTATCTTATCAATGAAAACCTTGGTAACCGTACAATTAAATTTTTTATTTACACTTAAAGTTCTCACTTTAGCCTATTTCAAATATTCTAAAGTACTAAAACTGATGGAGAAAGATGTTATGAATAAAAAATATTCCTCATGCGTCAATAAATCACAATTGACAGTTATTTCATACTTATCTATCACCAATTTCTAGTGATATATCATAAATCACAAAATGTCAAAATTGGACGATTTTTCTTAATAAAATCAATTATAACCCAAGTACTAAAACTGATGGAGAAAAACGTTATGAATAAAAAATATTCCTAATGCATCAAGAAATCATAATCCACTCTTATTCCATATCTATCACAAGTTTCTAGTGATATAGCATAAATCACAAAATGTCAAAATTGGACGATTTTTGTTAATAAAATCAACTACAACCTAAGTACTAAAACTGATGGAGAAACCCGTTATGAATAAAAAATATTCCTAATGCATCAAGAAATCATAATCCACTCTTATTTCATATCTATCTATCACAAGTTTCTAGTGATATAGCATAAATCACAAAATGTCAAAATTGGACGACTTTTCTTAATAAAATCAACTATAACCTAAGTACTAAAACTGATGGAAAAAGACGTTATGAATAAAAAATGTTCCTAATGCATGAAGAAATCAAAATCCACTCTTATTCCATATCTATCACAAGTTTCTAGTGATATAGCATAAATCACAAAATGTCAAAATTGGACAATTTTTGTTAATAAAATCAACTATAACCTAAGTACTAAAACTGATGGAAAAAGACGTTATGAATAAAAAATATTTCTAATGCATCAAGAAATCAAAATCTATACTTATTTCATATTTATCTATCACCAATTTCTAGTGATATAGCATAAATCAAAAATGTCAAAATTGGACGACTTTTCTTAATAAAATCAACTATAACCTAAGTACTAAAACTGATGGAGAAAGACGTTATGAATAAAAAATATTCCTAATGCATCAAGAAATCAAAATCCATACTTATTTCATATTTATCTATCACCAATTTCTAGTGATATAGCATAAATCACAAAATGTCAAAATTGGACGATTTTGCTTAATAACATCAATTATAACCCAAGTACTAAAACTGATGGAGAAAAACGTTATGAATAAAAAATATTCCTAATGCATCAAGAAATCATAATCCATACTTATTTCATATTTATCTATCACCAGTTTCTAGTGATATAGCATAAATCACAAAATGTCAAAATTGGACGATTTTTCTTAATAAAATCAACTATAACCTAAGTACTAAAACTGATGGAGAAAGACGTTATGAATAAAAAATATTCCTAATGCATCAATAAATCACAATTGACAGTTATTTCATACTTATGTATCACCAATTTCTAGTGATATAGCATAAATCACAAAATGTCAAAATTGGACGATTTTTTTAATAAAATCGACTACAACCTAAGTACTAAAACTGATGGAGAAAGACGTTATGAATAAAAAATATTCCTAATGCATCAGGAAATCATAATCCACTCTTATTTCATATCTATCTATCACAAGTTTCTAGTGATATATCATAAATCACAAAATGTCAAAATTGGACGATTGGACGAAATTGGACAATTATAATGGAAGTACTAAAACTGATGGAGAAAGATGTTATGAATAAAAAATATTCCTCATGCGTCAATAAATCACAATTGACAGTTATTTCATACTTATCTATTACCAATTTCTAGTGATGTAGCATAAATCACAAAACGTCAAAATTGGACGATTTTTGTTAATAAAATCAACTATAACCTAAGTACTAAAACTGATGGAGAAACCCGTTATGAATAAAAAATATTCCTAATGCATCAAGAAATCATAATCCACTCTTATTTCATATCTATCTATCACAAGTTTCTAGTGATATAGCATAAATCACAAAATGTCAAAATTGGACGACTTTTCTTAATAAAATCAACTATAACCTAAGTACTAAAACTGATGGAGAAAGACGTTATGAATAAAAAATGTTCTTAATGCATCAAGAAATCAAAATCCATACTTATTTCATATTCATCTATCACCAATTTCTAGTGATATAGCATAAATCACAAAATGTCAAAATTGGACGATTTTGCTTAATAACATCAACTATAATGGAAGTACTAAAACTGATGGAGAAAGATGTTATGAATAAAAATATTCCTCATGCATCAAGAAATCATAATCCACACTTATTTCATATTTATCTATCACCAATTTCTAGTGATATAGCATAAATCACAAAATGTCAAATTTGCTTGGTCTTTAACTTGGTCTGGCTTCAAACAATTCTAATATGATAGAATTATGCTAACAAAAGTAAAACTGTTTGTGGCATATTGTTAAAAAAATGCAAAATAATTATTGAACCAATCTTGAAAAAGGATTTTGGTCGTTTAGATTTTTTGTGGAACTTCCCAACAAAACGGAATCTATTCTTATTTATTCCTCTTAAAGCTCTTCAGGATTTCGGAGGAATATATTTAGAGTGATTTGAGATAAAAATCTCCAACTACATTTTCGCCAAGCAGCAACTTGAATTGTTCCTTAGATACTTTAAATCTTGATCCAACTCTTCATTCTTAAAAAGAATTTTTTCATAGGCATTTGATGTAACATGTTCAGGTTTATTTGTAGTCGTCGGTGTCTCTACAAAGTGTTTAACAATAATTTAGTACGTTTAAAGTAATTACTTTAAAATTTATTAATAATAACGCTATAAATTTTTAAATAAAGGCGTAAAATCAACCTTCAAATACACATAAAATCATCTGCGCATGCGCATTGGCATTATTTACAACCATGCGTGGCAGTAAACTAATAAACCGTACAGTATTCATCTTTAGATTATAAAATTTCCAAAAATGTCCGGCAAATTTGTTGGATTCTCAGACGACGACATAAAAAACGTTCAAAACAACGAACCATCAAACAAAAACACTCAAAATTTGGGTAGGTTAACACAATTTAAAACCTAAACGCTTAAATTAAGATTTCTTGAACATTCAGAAAAGCCAAAAGCCAAAAAACCTCCACAAAAAGTCGTTATTCGTTTAGATCCCTCTCGAACAAAAATATTAGAAAAAAAGTCCACCATCCAACCAGAATCAACAAATCCGGAACATAATAAACAAGATGAAGTAAAGAATCAAGGTCAAAATGAAGAAACAGTCAACTTAAATAATAACCCTAGTGAAAATGAATCAAATATGAACAACAATTTACAAAACACCGAACCAAAACGATTTATAAATTTGGATGAATTTCAATTAAAACAGAAACAAATAGAAGAAGCTAATAATCATCGTAAAGAACTTCTTGCTAAAGCTTTAGCTGATAGGACAAAGAGAACACAAGAAGAAGCGAAACGTTTGGGTGAAATTCAAGAAGAATTTAAAAAGTTAGATATGTTACTTTCAAACGATGTTAAAATACTTCGGAAAAAAATTGAATTGGCAAGTTTGCATTATATGGAAGCACAAAAACAATATTTACAAGTCGAAAAGGCGTTTTTAGCAGCGAAAATAAGTCTACAACAACAATTAGAGAAAAAGGAATTGTTAACCGAGCATCTATGTCAAATAATCGAGCAAAATGAGGAGAGAAAAGCCAAGAAATTAATGGAATTATTAAATAGACTTAATTTAAATGATAGCGAAGATACGAAATGTAAAGATGATAAAGATACTTAGTTATAATAAAACATACCTTTTTAAATTTTGCTGCAAACACACTTATTTTTCTTGTAACTAATTATTTTTGAGGTTAAGTTTTCAAATGCTTCTTTGTATTTGTATGGCGTGTTTATACCTGTTTTAAGTATCGCGTGAAGTTTGTCTAAACTAAATTAAGTACATATAAATAAATTTATAATTAATTTGTACATATTATGTTGAAATATTATATTGAAGTTTTATTTTTATTAATATTTAACCTTTTAAAATGAATTCAAAATATTTTTCTGTTTATAAAATTGTAAGGTAACAGAGTGAAGTTGTAGCTAATTGATAAAATTAATAAAAAATAAATAGATGCAGAATTAAATTAAAGTTAAAATCAAATTAATAATTTATTAATTAAATTTGTTTTCGTTAATAAGTAAAAATGTTTATTGTAATAAGTAATAATGTTATCAAATTATTTATAATAAGCGCCATCTATGAAATCGATCCATAATATGGTTATATAAACGATATTTTTACATAACTCAAAAAGATTTATAATTTAAAACATCATTAATTATTAATTTTAATGTTTTCAATAAATATAAATTAATAAGTATAAATTATTTTTATAAAATGACGAAACTTTGTTAAAAAAATGACCGCCATCTAGTGGGCGGTATAAAAAATTTCATTTACAGCTCCCTATTTTGACAATTAAATTAACGTTATCTTTTTAGGTTAGATTATTTTAAGAATTTACAACAAATTTTAGTTTAAGATTTCTGATTTAATAATTCAAAAAACTTCCTTGAAAAGGTAATTCATAAACATATATTAATTATTAATTTATATAAATTAGTTATTTTTAGAGATTGGATTATTTAAGTTGTTGGTAACTTTATAAGCTTTTAACCATAAAAAAAGTTAATTCCAATTTCCCGCAAACAATTTTATGAAAGATTTTTAAAATATCCCTGGGCGTCTTCGAAAATAACAAGGTACTTCTCTCTTTTGGGGGAACTCTTATTGAGCGAGAAATTGGGTTTGTTCACAATAGAGACCGTTTTCAAAGGTTGAAAGACGGAAAGAAACGGTCAAGAGGACAAAAACTCTCCTTTTTTTCTCAAGTGGATACTTTCAAACACTTAACAGAGAATTCCAGACAATTTCTAAAGAATTTTTTAATAAGAAATCAAAGTTAAAAGTCAATGGATACGCTACTTTAGTAATTAAATGTCTCTCTTGTTACTGGTAAACCCTTAAAATAACCGAGAAGAAACCAGATATACCCGTATCGATTTTACATTCCCCTTTCTAATTAGCTGATTATTTCTCGTCTGAGCTTCTCTTATATTTCACCTAAAAAGGAAATAATAAATATAGTTAACACACAACTTAAAGATTACTTAAAAACTTTATGTTTACTATTTTTTTAAAAGTCCTTTGAGCCTTTTTGAATCCTGTTAAGATTAAAAAATCTTTTAACGAGATAGAAGTAAACATCATTTCAAAGAGTAAACTTGAAATCAATTCTAGGTAGAGTTTAATTAACGTATTTGAGCGTGATTAAAATTTTAACTAAGTTAATTCCTTAGGAATGGATTGGTTTGAATAAATTATGTAAAAATAAAAATTTTTGTTAATTAAAATAATTTCTGTTAAATATTGTATAACCGGATCATTTTAAAAATGGATATAAAACTCTTTTCGCTTATATTCCCTTTACTTTTACGTTACAACTTACAACCCCCCAGTTATCGATCATATTTCAACATCGTATACGTGCAGCGAATATGATGACTTTTTAACTTTTTAGAAACGATACGAGATCGTGTTGTATGCCGGAGATGCAACGATAACTGAAAGGAAATAGAATATGTTTTTGTAATGAACGGAAAATAATTCTAACTTATTTTAGTGTTTAAACATCAATTATAGAAATCCTTTGATCTTTTCTATTTTTTTCGATTCTTTTTGCTTCTTTTTGTTTCTTTTTGTTAGTTTGTCCTTTTTTACATTTCGATTATTCCATAATGTAAAAGCGAACAAAACCTTACGGTGTCACATCGCGTCAACGTTGGCGTTTCAACAGTTGTCACATCCGATATTAAACAATAGAACATTGCGCGCGTAAGACGCCTTTTGTTTCTGGCTTTTGTTTCATGAATCTCCTACTTCTAAGCTGTATTGCAAGCGAACCATGCACCCAGCCGCCATCCAGCCGCATTTCTACTATTACATAGTATGTATGTTGCTGTGTATTTCGAGTGAAACGCAGATAACGTCCGACTCGATCGCGTCGTCGGTGTCGTTGGTATGGTGGTGCTTGTATTCGTAATGCACCGGAAAGGGGTTGATACAATACCGTGTCAACCACCTGCATTAAATAATCGGAACTACTCGGGTTGAGGGCGTTACGGTTCGATGACATTACGAAACGTTTTAACTCCTTTTTTTAATTGTTTTTGAATTATACATGGTTATTCAAAAGTATAATGTAACTACAAATTTGATATACAATTATAATAATAATATAATTATTACATTGCATTTTGAATCAAAATATTGAAGCATATTTCAACTTCAATATTGAAGTGCCTCAGTCGACGACTCGATTTTAACTTAGAAAATTTAACTTCAAAACTTGCAGTCATCTTTTGGATAACGACACAATAATCAGCATACTTGAGTCTTTTAAGTTACTATTTGAAAACTTGATAAAATTCCTGTCTCTATACCATACAAATTTAAGTATAACGAAAAGAGGACTTTTAGAACTCATGTTCTATTGATCCTGTAGATGGTATTATTTATTTACTTTATTGTTCACCCAAACCATGAGATACGAAACAAGTTTTTTTTACTGTGGTTGTCTAGGTATATATATTTTTTTAGTTTTAATCAATAATAAGTTGTATTAATTCATCAATTATCGAATATTAACGTATTGTGATGACAAAATGACCCAACTAAGGCAGTAAACAAACTCTGAGACCCAAAGGATAAAGATGCGAGATAAGTGATGAATGTAATTTAGTTTATACAATACCAATACCAACACTTATATCTAGTGTCTTCAGTATGTTGCTGGATACGTTTGAGGGATATACAGTAAACAACATTCCCTTACAAAACAGTAAGAGAATTAAGAGATTCTCCATGGGATACGTTTCGCTAATGTAATATGAACAAAGATGGTTCTTTTTACACGCATGCGCAACATTGGCAATTCTAGACTGCCAACCCTTGCTAAAACTCCACTTAAACTGTCTACAGAAGTTAGGTACTTGGTCCTAATAATAGACAGTAAGTTAACGTGGAAATCCTACCTAATTAATAGAGTTAATAAAGCTTGTGTCGCCTTCCGCCAGTGCCGGGAGGACTTGGGGTTTGTCCCCCAAGATAACCCTGTGGATATACTGCCATGGTTCGACTGATATGGTTCGTGGATTAGGACTTCTAAGTCTACGGCCACCACTGCACTCAATAGAATACAGAGACTCGCCTGTTTGTATCTTACAGGTGCGCTGCGATCAACCCCCACCGCGGCCATGGAAGTCATGTTAAATTTAACACCACTCAACCTACATATTCAGGAAGTGGCCTTGCTAACCATGAAAAGAATACAATCAGTAGGAATTATGAAGGATGGGGACGCTGGCAGCAGTTCAACACTCTGGAGGGGAGCAGTGTTAGACACACCCTTACTCAAGTGTAAGACCGATCACAGACCAGCAAAATATGTTTTCTCAAGGAAGTATCTCACCCACGTCAGTCCCATAGTAGTAGACGGACACAGAACTTTTAAAATCTTCACTGATGGTTCAAAAGGACGAAATGGTGCCGTGATCACCGTCATACAAGCAGAACTGACTGCCATTAAACTTGCTGCCGACTGCATTGTTGATTTCAACAAGCAGGGTAAGTATTTTACTATTTTTACAGACAGTAAACAATCTCCTTTAGCTTTAACTCTTACCGCTGCAGTGGTACAAAAAATAAACCACCTAAATTTTCACCCAACTGACACAGTGATCTATAATGTAGACCACCAATTCAAAATTATTTTTCTACATTCGCAGCGTCAAAAAATTTAAACCCCCGTCGTTGTTCGTATGTTAGTACATCGTAAATGACTTTTACAATGTGATTTTTATGATTTAGCACACATTTATCAAAAATAATATTTTATTTGTGTTTTTTTTATTTGAAAGAGTGTTACATCAGTTCAGGTAAGTTGAATATATTGTTTTACTAATATATAGTTTTGATAACCAGTAATTATTTTGATTATCTGCTTCAAAATTTGTACCACCTACAATGCATTTTTTGTGTGCCACTCAAAATTTCTACAAAAATGCATTTCTCTACAGGAAATGTCCGGCAATGACGATCTATCATTGGTGACGAGTCAGATTTAGGAGATATAGATGAAGATATAAATACAAATATTGATATTTATTCCAGTGAAAGTGATTTAGATGACAACAAACCTTTATCTGTACTTCAAGCAAGAATTAAAAAAAATTAACTACAGTTATTCAGCCACCAATTTGGGGTATAACGGAAAGACTTTCTTCACCTCGCCCTATTAGCCAAATTAGCGGTGTTCGTGACGAAATAGCCAGCTCAAATCCGACACCATATTCTCTGTTTCAACTATTTTTCGGAGAAAATTTTATAAATCATATAGTTTTTGAAACAAACTTATATGCCGAGTAAGAACAAATGCGTACTGGAAAACATTACAGGAAAATTTAAAGGTAGAAGTGTGCTGAAACAGTATATGCCTAAGAAACCCATAAAAAGGGGTTACAAAGTATGGATGCTTTGCGACAAGTCGGGATACTGCTTGAGATTCGACATTTATGTTGGAAAATCCCAGGATCAACTTATGGGACAGAGCCTAGGTTCTAGGGTTGTGTACAAGCTTGTTGAGGGTCTTGAACAAAAAAACCATACAATATATTTTGATAATTTTTTTAGCAGTGTAGAACTAATGTAAAATTTAAAGCAACGTGGGATATATGCAGTTGGAACAGTGAATATATCTCGAAAATATTTACCTAATTTCAAAACTGGCAAGCAGCTCCAAAGAGGTGAATTCGACTGGTACACAAGTGATACAAAACTATTTGCAGTAAAATGGAAAGATAAAAGATCAGTACATCTTTTATCAAATTATCACAATCCTGAAGATTGCACAAAAGTTAATAGAAGAGAAAAAAATGG